GGACGGGAGCCCAGGATGGGGCTCAGGACACCGGGAGGGGATCCAGGGTGTCCTGGGATGGGCTCCGGTAACCAGGACGGGAGCCCAGGATGGGGCTCAGGACACCGGGAGGGGATCCGGGTGTCCTGGGATGGGCTCCAGTAACCAGGAGGGGGTCCCAGGATTGGGCTCGGGACACCGGGAGGGGATCCCAGGATGGGGCTCGGGACACCGGGAGGGGATCCCGGGATTGGGCTCGGGACACCGGGAGGGGATCCAGAGTATCCTGGGATGGGCTCCGGTAACCGGGAGGGGAGCCGAGGGGGGGCTCCGGTAACCGGGAGGGGATCCAGGGTATCCTGGGACGGGCTCCGGTAACCGGGAGAGGAGCCCGGGATGGGGCTCGGGACACCGGGAGGGGATCCAGGGTGTCCTGGGATGGGCTCCGGTAACCGGGAGAGGGGTCGAAGGGGGCTCCGGTAACCGGGCCGGGTCCTGGAATGGGATCGGTAACCGGAGGGTCTCGGTGCCCCGGTGTTAACAGGGGGTCCCCGCAGGAGCGAAGGCGCTGGCGCTGACCGGGAACCGAGGGGTGGAACCGGCCATGGACTGGTGAGGGGAGACCCCCAAAACCGCCCCAAACCCACCCGGGACCGCCCAAACACCCCAAAATCCACCTGGGACTTTCTTAAACACCCCAAACCCCACCCAGGACCGCCCAAAACCCACCCAGGACCGCCCAAACCCCCAAAACCCACCCAGGACCCCCAAAACATCTCCAAAATCCACCTGTGCCACCCCAAAACCCACCAGGACCGCCCCAAACCCACCCGGGACCACCCAAAACCCACTCGGGACCGCCCCAAACCCACCCGGGACCGCCCCAAAAGCCCCACCCGGGACCGCCCAAAACCCACCTGGGACCACCCCAAAACCCCCTGCAGGACCCCCAACCCCACCAGGACCGCCCAAACCCCACCTGGGACCGCCCCAAACCCACCCGGGACCGCCCCAAAACCCCTGCGGGACCCCCAAAAACATCTCCCAAAATCCACCTGTGCCCACCCCAAAACCCACCCGGGACCCCAAAACCCAGCCAGGATCCCCAAAACCCCCAGGACCCCTTTGAGACCCCTCCCCAACCTCACCCAAAACACCCCCAGACCCTCCTGGAACCCCCCAAAGCCCCCCAGGACCCTCCTGGAACCTTCCAGATTCTCCCCCAGGACCCTCCTGGGACCCCCCAAATCCCCCGGACCCTCCTAGAACTCCCCAAAGCCCCCAGGACCCTCCTGGGACCCCCAAAGCCCCCAGGACCCTCCTGGGACCCCCAAAGCCTCCTGGGACCCCCCAAAGCCCCCAGGACCCTCCTGGGACCCCCAAAGCCCCCAGGACCCTCCCAGGACTCCCCAAATCCCCCTGACCCCCCATTTCCCCCCAGGTTGGTGGCCCACGAAGACGCACCCGACTCGGACTCGGACCCCGAACTGCCCCTGAGTTTTGGGGTCCCCGGGGGGATCCCCCCGAGTCTGGGGGCCCCGACAGCCCCAGGAGGAGGACGAGACCCAGAAGTGAGGGGGGGGTCACCCCCAAACGTGGGGGGTTGGGATTTTGGGGGGGATCCCCCCGGGTTTGGGGGTTCAAGGGGGGATGGGTTGGGGTTTTCCCCAAGGTTTTTGGGGTTCAGGGGGTTGTCCCACGTTTTGGGGGGGTGCAGGAGCTCCCTTTGGGTTTTAGGGGGTGTCTTGGGTTTGGGGTTTTTGGGGGTGTCCCAGGTTTGGGGTTTTTTGGGGGGGGGGAGTTTCCCCCCAGATTTGGGGGTTTGGGGAGGGGTATTTTGGGGTTTGGGGGCCCCAGGGTTGTTCTGCCCAGGTTTGGGGGTTCAGGGAGGGTTTCCCCCGAGGTTTTGGGGTTTCCCCCTGGGGTTTTGGGGTCCCCCCGATTTGGGGGTGTCCCCCCCTGACTTCAGGGTGCCCCCCCCCAATCTCCTGCTGGCCACGGGGGAGCAGCAGCACAGGAGGGGGGGTGGCGTTTGGGGGGTTCAGGGATGGGTTCCCCTGAGGTTTTGGGGTTTCCCCCAGGGTTTTGGGGTTTTCCCCTGGGGTTTTGGGGGTTCAGGGGGGGTGTCCCAGTTTGGGGGTGTCCCCCCTGATGTGGGGGTGCCCCCCAGGCTCCTGTTAGTGGCGGGGCAGGAGCGGGAGCAGCGATGCCGGGGGGCAGCGGGGTTTGGTGTTTGAGGGGTTCAGGGAGGTTTCCCCCGTGGTTTTGGGGTTTCCCCCGGGGTTTTGGGGTTTCCCCCGGGGTTTTGGGGGTTCAGGGGGGGTGTTCCATTTTCGGGGTGCTCCCCAGGCTCCTGGCAGCGGCGGGGCAGGAGCAGAAGCGGCGGGGGGGGTTTGGTGTTTGAGGGGTTCAGGGATGGTTTCCCCCATGGTTTTGGGGTTTCCCCCGGGGTTTTGGGGGTTCAGAGGGGGTGTCCCAGTTTTGGGGTGCCCCCCAGGCTCCTGGCAGCGGCGGGGCAGGAGCAGGAGCAGCAAATGCCAGGGGCAGGAGGGTTGGTGTTTGAGGGGTTCAGGATGGTTCCCCGGGTTTTGGGGTTTCCCCAGGGTTTTGGGGGTTCAGGGGGTGTTCCATTTTCAGGGTGCCCCCAGGCTGTTAGCTGCGGCGGGGCAGGAGTGGGAAGCAGCGGGGGGTTGGTGTTTGGGGGTTCAGGGATGGTTCCCCCGTGGTTTTGGAGTTTCCCGTGGTTTTGGGGTTTCCCAGGGTTTTGGGGTTTCCCCCGGGGTTTTGGGGGTTCAGGGGGGGTGTCCCATTTTCGGGGTGCCCCCCAGGCTGTTGGCAGCGGCGGGGCAGGAGCGGGAGCGGCGGCGCCGGGGGCAGGAGCTGTCGCGGCTGCGCGAGTGGCGCCGGGACGAGGAGCGGCGTCGGGCGGCCGAGGAGCGGCGCAGGGACCGCGCCGAGGAGAGGGCGGCACGGTCAGGGGGGACCCCAAAAACACCCCAAAAACCCAGCCCTGAGTCCTCTGAGCCCCCAAAACCCCCCAGAGCTCTGGGGTCACCCCAAAACCTCCAGAGACCCCCCCCCCAAACCTCCCCCTTCGTAACTCAGTCACCCCCAGGGACCGTGCCGAGGAGAGGGCGGCACGGTCAGGGGGGACCCCAAAAACACCCCAAAAACCCAGCCCTGAGTGCTCAGAGCCCCCAAAACCCCCCAGAGCTCTGGGGTCACCCCAAAACCTCCCTTAGACCCCTGGAGTCACCCCCAGGGACCGCACCAAGGAGAGGGCGGCACGGTCAGGGGAGACCCCAAAAACACCCCAAAAACCCAGCCCTGAGTGCTCAGAGCCCCCAAAACCCCCCAGAGCTCCGGGGTCACCCCAAAACCTCCCTTAGAGCACCCCCAGGGACCACACCGAGGAGAGGGCGGCACGGTCAGGGGGGACGCCAAAAACACTCCAAAAACCCAGCCCTAAATGCTCAGAGCCCCCAGAACCCCCCAGAGCTCTGCGGTCACCCCAAAACCTCCAGAGACCCCCCCAAACCTCCCCCTTTGTAACTCAGTCACCCCCAGGGACCGCACCGAGAAGAGGGCGGCACGGTCAGGGGGGGCCCCAAAAACACCCCAAAAATCCAACCCTGAGTCCCCAGAGCGTCCAAAACCCCCCAGAGCTCTGGGGTCACCCCAAAACCTCCCTTAGAGCACCCCCAGGGACCGCGCCGAGGAGAGGGCGGCCCGGTCAGGGGGGGCCCCAAAAACACCCCAAAAACCCAGCCCTAGATGCTCAGAGCCCCCAAAACCCCCCAGAGCTCCAGGGTCACCCCAAAACCTCCCTTAGAGCACCCCCAGGGACCGCACCAAGGAGAGGGCGGCACGGTCAGGGGGGATCCCAAAAACACCCCAAAAACCCAGCCCTGAGTCCCCAGAGCCCCCAAAACCCCCCAGAGCTCCGGGGTCACCCCAAAACCTCCAAAGAGCTTCCTAAAGCTCCTCCTTAGAGCCCCGGGGTCACCCCCAGGGACCTCACCAAGGAGAGGGCAGCCTGGTCAGGGGGGCCCCCCAAAAACACCCCAAAAACCCAGCCCTGAGTCCTCTGAGCCCCCAAAACCCCCCAGAGCTCCGGGGTCACCCCAAAACCTCCCTTATTGCCCTGGAGTCACTCCCAGGGACTGCACCGAGGAGAGGGCGGCACGGTCAGGGGGGGCCCCAAAAACACCCCAAAAACCCAGCCCTGAGTCCTCTGAGCCCCTAAAACCCCCCAGAGCTCCGGGGTCACCCCAAAACCACGAGAGACTCCCCCAGACCTCCCCCTTAGAGCCCTGGAGTCACCCCCAGGGACCGCGCCGAGGAGAGGGCGGCACGGTCAGGGGGGACCCCAAAAGCACCCCAAAAACCCAGCCCTGAGTCCCCAGAGCCCCCAAAACCCCCCAGAGCTCCGGGGTCACCCCAAAACCTCCAGAGACCCCCCCAAACCTCCCCCTTTGTAACTCAGTCACCCCCAGGGACCGCACCGAGGAGAGGGCGGCACGGTCAGGGGGGGCCCCAAAAACACCCCAAAAACCCAGCCCTGAGTGCTCTGAGCCCCCAAAACCCCCCAGAGCTCCGGGGTCACCCCAAAACCTCCAGAGACCCCCCCAAACCTCCCCTTTCGTAACTCAGTCACCCCCAGGGACCGCGCCGAGGAGAGGGCGGCACGGTCAGGGGGGGCCCCAAAAACACCCCAAAAACCCAGCCCTGAGTCCCCAGAGCCCCCAAAACCCCCCAGAGCTCTGGGGTCACCCCAAAACCTTCCTTAGAGCACCCCCAGGGACCGCGCCGAGGAGAGGGCGGCACGGTCAGGGGGGACCCCAAAAACACCCCAAAAACCCAACCTTGAGTGCTCTGAGCCCCCAAAACCCCCCAGAACTCCGGGGTCACCCCAAAACCTCCAGAGATTCCCCCCAAAGACCACCCAGACCCCTGGGGAACCCCCCAGGATCACCCCAAAACTCCAAAGGACCCCCAAAATTCTTCTCCCCCCAGAGCCCTGGGGACCCCCAAGTCCTCCATCCCCTTTAAACTCTCAGAGTCACCCCAAAACCCTTGGGGACCCCCCCAGGGACCCCCACCCAAATCCTTGGGGACCCCCCCAACCTCTCCCCAGACCCCCAGGGACCCCCTGACCCCCGGGGACCCCCCCAAGCCCTTCCAAAATCCCGGAATTTCCCCCCAGGCAGCGGGTGAAGGAGAAGATTGAGCGGGACAAGGCCGAGAGAGCACAGAGGGTGAGATCCCAAAGGATGGGGGGGATCCCAAAGGGTTGGGGGATCCCAAAGGGTTGGGAGATCCCAAAGGGTTGGGGAGGATCCCAAAGGGTTGGGGGGGATCCCAAAGGGTTGGGGGATCCCAAAAGAGTGGGGGGATCCCAAGGGATGGGGAGGATCCCAAAGGGTTGGGGGATCCCAAAAGAGTGGGGGGATCCCAAGGGATGGGGTGAGATCCCAAGGGATGGGGGGATCCCAAGGGATCAGGAGAATCTCAAGGGATCAGGGGATTCCAAGAGATCAGGGGGATCCCAAAGGATTGGGGGGTCCTGAGGGATTGGGGGGATCCCAAAAGATTGGGGGAAATCCCCAAGGGTCAAGGGGTCCTGAGGTATGGAGGTAGATCCCAAAGAATTGGGGGGATCCCAAGGGATTGGAGAAATCCCAAGGGATTGGGAGGGATCCCAAGGGATCAGGGGGGTCCAGAGGGAATGGGGGATTCCAAAGGACTGGGGGATCCCAAAGGATCAGGGGGTCCTGAGGGATTGGGAGGGATCCCAAAGGATTGGGGGGATCTCAAAGGATCAGGGAATCCCCAGTGGTTGGGGGGTATCCCAAAGGAGGGGGGGAATTCCAAGGGACTGGGGAGTCCTGAGGGTTGGGAGGATCCCAAAGGATTGGGGGGATCCCAAAGGATTGGGGGGATCCCCAGGGGTCAGGAGGGTCCTGAGGGATTGTGGGGATCCCTTTGGGATCGGGGTGGGGCATTAATCCAGCAGGATCTGCCAGGACCCAGCAGGTCCTGCTGGGATCACATTGGGGGGAATTCCAAATGGATCCCCAACCCCCTGCCCCTCCCTCCCCCAGTTCGCCCCCTCCCCGTCGAGCCTCCCCAGACCCTCCCCCGGGCGGAGCCGCTGGCGCCGCGGGAATACGACGAGTGCCGGATCCAGGTACGGAATCCCTCGGGTTTGGGGGATCCCCGGGATCTGGGGGGATCCAGAGGGTCCTGAGGGATTGGGGGGAGGGGGGAGATCCCAAGGGATTTGGGGGGGGGTCCTGTGGGAATACGAGCAGTGCCAGATCCAGGCACAGAATGGGGGGATCCCAAAGGATCCAGGGGAGATTCCAGAGGATCCGGGGGAGATCCCAAAGGATCCAGGGGAGATTCCAGAGGATCCAGAGAGTTCCCAGTGGATTGTGGAGATTCAGGAGGGATTTGGGAGGATCCAGGGGGTGTCCTGAGGATTTTGGGGGTCCTGAAGGACTTTTGGGAGGGATCCAGGGGGGATCCCTATGGATTGGGGAAATCCAGGGGGGATTGGGTGGGATGGGGGAGATCCCAAGGGATTGTGGAGGTGGGGGGGGGGCGACCTGAAGGATCCAGGGGGGGATCCCAAAAGATCCAGGAGGATGTGGGTGATCCCAAAGGATCTGGGGGGGATCCCAAAGGATTCAGGGGGTCCCCGGGAATACAGGGGTGTGTGGGTGACCCCAAAGGATCCCAGGGGATCCCAAAGGATCTGGGGGGGATCCCAAAGGATTCAGGGGGTCCCCGGGAATACAGGGGTCTGTGGGTGATCCCAAAAGATCTGGGGTGATCCCAAAGGATCTGGGGTGATCCCAAAGGACTCTCAGGATGCTCTGATCCCCCATCCAGGTCCATCTCCCAGACGGGCAGGCTCTCACCCAGGGGGGGATCCCAAAGGACTCAGGGGGATGTGGGTGATCCCAAAGGATCTGGGGGGTCTGTGGGTGATCCCAAAGGATCCAGGGGGATCTGTGGGTGATCCCAGGGGGTCTCAGGGTGCTCTGATCCCCCTCCAGGTCCATCTCCCGGATGGGCGGGTGCTCACCCAGGGGGGATCCCAAAGGATCCAGGGGGGGTCTGTGGGTGATCCCAGAGGATCTGGGGGGATCCCAAAGGATCTGGGGGGTCTGTGGGTGATCCCACAGGATCTGGGGGGATCCCAAAGGATCCAGGGGGATCTGTGGGGGATCCCAGAGGATCTGGGGGGATCCCAAAGGATCTGGGGGATCTGTGGGTGATCCCAGGGGCTCTCAGGGTGTTCTTTTCCACCCTCCAGATCCGTCTCCCGGACGGGCGGGTGCTCACCCAGGGGGGGATCCCAAAGGACCTGGGGGTCTGGGGTGATCCCAGGGTGTTCTTTTCCCCCCTCCAGGTCCGTCTCCCGGACGGGCGGGCTCTCACGCAGCGTTTCCGGGCGCGGGAGCCGCTGGCGGCCGTGCGGCTCTTCGTGGAGCTGCACCGGGGGGCAACTGGGAGCACTGGGAACACTGGGGAGCCCCCCCAGGGAGGGCCCCAGAGCCCCCCCGAGCCCTTCAGCCTCCGAACGGCCTTTCCCAAGAGGCTTTTCACGGAGGAGGACATGGAGAAACCCCTGCAGGAGCTGGGTCAGGAATTTGGGGGGGGGCTGGGATTGTTTGGGGGCTGGGATTGTTGGGGGCTGGGATTGTTTGGGGGCTGGGATTGTTTGGGGGAGTGGAATTCTTTGGGAGGGCTGGAATTGTTTGGGGGTGGAATTGTTTGGGGGCTGGGATTGTTTGGGGGCTGGAATTGTTTGAGGAGGACTGGAATTGTTGGGGGGCTGGGATTGTTTGGGGGTTGGGATTGTTTTGGAGGAGATGAAATTGGTTGGGGGGCTGGGATTGTTTGGGGGCTGGGATTGTTTGGGGGCTGGGATTGTTTGGGGGCTGGGATTGTTTTGGGGGCTGGAATTGTTGGGGGCTGGGATTGTTTGGGGGCTGGAATTATTTGGGGGCTGGGATTGTTTAGGGGCTGGGATTGTTAAGGGTCTGGGATTGTGGGGGGCTGGGATTGTTTGGGGGATGGAATTTTTGGGGGAGTGGAATTGTTTGGGGGCATCCCTGGAATGTCTGGAGAGGCTTTTGGGGTCCCTGGTGAGGGTTGGAGAATCCTTGGAATCTTTGGGGGGTTCTCTTGGTTTGGGAGATTCCTGGGGAGTTCCAGGGGTCCTGGGGGATCCTTGGAATGTCTGAGGGGATTTTGGGGAGTCTGAGGGGGTTTCTTGGGGCTTTGGGAGGGTTCTGGAGTGTTTGGGGGGTCCTGGGGGCTTCAGGTTCCCAGGCAGTTTCTGGGGGGTCTTTTGGGGGTCTCCCACAGTTTGGGGGTCTCATTATTGTCCTTTCCCTCCCCCAGGTCTGGTCCCCTCCGCCGTCGTCATCGTGGCCAAGAAGGAGGGGAGCTGAGGGGGAGGGGCCTGGGGACCCCCAAAATCCCCTCTGGGGACCCCAGACCCAAATAAACCTCAGCTGTGTCCCCCCTCCTCCAAATTCTGTCTCTGTGTCCCCCAAAAACACAACTGGGGGTAAAGCAGCTTTATTGGGGGGGTCCCCCCTCTTTGTCACCCCCGGGGGGGGAGATTTTGGGGGGTCCTGGGGGGTCCCAGCCCCTCCTCCCCCTCAGGGCTCCTTGGGCAGCTGTTTCCCCACGGGGTCCCAGATGATGACGATGCCCCAGGCCCCCACACCTGAGGGGAGAACAAGAGGGGGTTACTGGGCTGCCCCTCCCCCCATTAGACACTTTTACCCCTTCCCCCTTCCCATGGCACCCCCAAACCCACCCAATGTGGACCCCACCCCCCACAAAGGGACTCCTCAGTCCCGGGACCCCCAACACTCCCCTCATGGGCCCCCCAGTCCCAGGACCCCCAACACTCCCCTCATGGGCCCCCAGTCCGGGACCCCAACACTCCCTCATGGCCCCCAGTCCAGGACCCCCAACACTCCCCTCATGGGCCCCCAGTCCCGGGACCCCCAACACTCCCCTCATGGGCCCCCCAGTCCAGGACCCCCAACACTCCCCTCATGCCCCCCAGTCCAGGACCCCAACACTCCCTCATGGCCCCCCAGTCCCAGGACCCCTAACACTCCCTCATGCCCCCCAGTCCCAGGACCCCTGAGACCCCCAATCTCAAAACCCTCCATGGAATCCCCCTCGAACCCCCTATTTTGCCCTCCCGTTACCATGAAGACCCCCTTCCTTCTTACACTCCCCCCTCCAAATTTCCCCCAACCCCCTCCCCGCCCCCCCCGTGTCTCACTGAGGGCGAAGGTGATCTGCGCGATGGCGCCCATGGACGGCGGGATCCCCCTCTTCATGACGCTGCGCGGGCCCTGGTAGAGCCAGGCGGCCGCCAGGAGCAGCCCCGCGCCGCACACGAGGCGGCAGCTCAGGCAGCCCCCGAACAGCGGCGACCGCGGCGGCGGCGACGCCGGGACCGGGACCGAGCCCGAACCGGGCGAGGCCTCCCCGGGGCCCGGCATGGCGGCGCCTGACATGGCGGCGCCGGAAGTGCGCTCCCTAAAATGGAGTCCGTGTGGCAGCACCGGGTCCCGCCACGAAGGTTCCGAATGAGGAAAGCGGGGAGGGGATTTACGGGAATCGTTACCGGGGGGGGGGGGGTCTCCCGTTGCTGACGTCACTCCCGGCCCCGGTGAGGCCTCCCCGTGAGGGGACAGGGCGGTGCCAAAAGTCACTGGGGTCACCGCTCAGCTGGATCAGTCCGTGAGGAAACCGCGCCCAGCACCGACAGTTCCGCCCGGGGGTCACCGGGAGGGGGTCGTTACCGGGAGGTGGGGGAGGGTCTCCCGGTGCTGACGTCACTTCTGCCACGGCACGGGCCGCCGCGCCACGTTCTCCTCGGTCTGGGCCGCCTCGCGCAGCGCCGCCATGATCAGCTCGTTGTGGCGGCGCCGCTGCGCCAAAACCTCCGGGTTCGCCTCGGGAAGGGCCTGGAAAGGGGGACGGCACAAAGCGGAGTCACAGGAGGGTCTCCCGCGCCACCACACGGGGGGGTCCCGAGGAGCCCACGGCGGTACCTTGAGGGTTTCCAGGCGGTCCTGCTCGCCCCCGGCCACCGCCACCCAGAGCAGCAGCCCCAGCGCCACCGGGGCGGCCCCGCGGGCGAGCGCCAGGGCCCAGCGAGCGGCCGCCATTGAACCGGAACCACCTCCCGCGGCCACTTCCGGGGAGGGGCCGCTCTGGCCATGAGGGATCATAGAGAGGAGGAGCGGGAGGACCGCGGGACGCGAAGCGGGGGGGACCCCAAAAAGAGGGAATGAGGGGGAACCCTCAAATAAGAAGTAATGTGGGGAGACCCCTAAAAAAGAGGGAATGAGGGGATGGAGCCTCGGCATTGGGGGAAATTCCTAGGGGGGTCTCTGGTGCGAAGGTTGGAGGGTCCTTGGAATGCTTGGGGGAGTCCCTGGGGGGACCTTGAGAGGTCACTAAAGGGGTTTGGGGAGTCCTTGGAATGCCCGGGAAGGGGATCATGGAACAACCACCAGGAAAAAAATGCTCAGGACCCTCCCCCATCATCGGGAATGGGATCGCGGATCCCTTTCCAGGAATGGAAAAAGGGTCACGACCCCTCCTCAGGAATAGGATCGGGGACCCCCCAACACCGGGAAAGGGGTCACGGGTAACGAGGGTCGCGCCGGTAACGAAGAAGAGAACACGAAACAAAGAGGATCTTTAAGCACTTTATTATAATTTTAGGATCCAAACCGGCATCCCCGGAGTCCCTCCGGTGCCCGCGGCGTCTCCCCGTCCCCCTGCGGATGAGAAAAGCGGAGGTGAAACGGCGGTCCCGGTTTCCCCCACCCCTCAGGGGCAGGGTGGGTCTGTCTGTCCGTCTGTCCCGGCGTGTGAGGGTGGGACCGGCGGACGCGACCGCCGGCACCGAAGACTTCGCGCCGGTCTCTCTGCTTTCCCTCCGCACATCACAGACCCCGGCACGGGCCCGCCGGGGCCCGCCAAGAACGGGAGGAGCCTCCCCGGTGCCCCCCCTCAACCCCAGACCCTCCCTGTGACCCCCAAATCGCTCCCTTCCAACACCGACCCCGCTCCGATCGCGCCGCTCTCCGAGCACCGAAAGAGGGGGCGGGCGTCGCGCCTCGCCTTTTATACCCTCGGTTGTGGGCGGGGCCGCGGCGCCGCCCCACCAATCAGAGGCGGCGGCGCGCGCGCAGCGGCCAATGAGAGCCTCAGGGAGGGAGCCGGAAGAGAAGGCGAACCGGAAGCGGGTCCCGGAAGCCACGTGGGGAGCGCGATGGGGATCGGGGGGAAAATCAACCGGCCCCGGACGGTGAACGGGGGGGTTCGGGGGGGATCAGGGGGATCTGGGGATGAGAACAGGCGTGGGGGTGTCGCGTGTCACGGTGGGAGTGGGAGGGAGGCGCGGGGTAAGGGAGCTGTCCCGTCTCCCCCTCCACACGGGGGGGTCCCGCTGTCCGGTAACCGGGGCTGGGGGGAAAGGGGGGGATCCGGTAACCCCGGGAGGGTCCCGTAGCCCTGAGGGGGCGGTCCCGGAGGTCTCCTTAACTCCTCACATGGAGATCTCGTTGTCTTTTACCCCTCATGGGGAGGGCTCCCGGTGTCCCGTCCTCCCCCGCACGGGGGGGTCCCGGTGCCCGTTTAACCCCCCCGGTGCCCGTTTAACCCCCCCCGTTTCCCCCCCCTCAGGAGCTCCGTAAGAAGCTGTTCAAGCGGCGGCGGGAGCTGGCGCGGGGGCGGCGGCAGAAGCGGCGGTGAGACCCCCTTCCCATCCTCCCTTCCCCCTCCCCGGTGCCCCCGGCCGTGCCGGTGCCTGAGGGGGTCCCGGGGGTCTCCGGTGCAGGGCGGGCCCGGCGGGGTCGGCGCCGCCGCCGCTCTGGGGGAAGAGGCGGCGGAAGGAGCTGAAGAGACTGCGGGGGCGGCGAAACGGGGTGAGAATTTGGGGGGAGCACCGGGGTGGGGGGGTGGGGACAGGATTGGGGACATCCCTGACCCCGATGTGTCCCCCCCTCCCCCCCAGCGCTGGAGGCGGCGGCGGCCGCGGAGACAAAACCGGAGATGGGGAAGGGGAAGAGGAAGAGCCGCGATGTGGAGATGGAGGAGGAGGAGCCTGCGGGGACAGCGGGGATGGGGACAGCCCTGGGGACAGCCCTGGGGACATCGGGGACACCCCTGGGGACAGCCCTGGGGACAGCCCTGGGGACAGCCCTGGGGACAGCAGGGACAGACCTGGGGACAACAGCCCTGGGGACAGCCCTGGGGAAAGCGGGGACAGCCCTGGGGACAGCAGGGATGGGGACAGCCCTGGGGACAGCGGGGACAGCCCTGGGGACAACAGGGACAGCCCTGGGGACAGCAGGGACAGCCCTGGGGACAGCAGGGACAGACCTGGGGACAACAGGGACAGACCTGGGGACACCCCTGGGGACACCCCCGGGCACCTGAGCCCCACCAGTGTCACCAGTTTTTGTCACTGGGCTCACCAGTGTCACCTCCCTGACCCCAGTTTCTGTCACTGGGGTCACCAGTGTCACCAGTTTCTGTCACTGGGGTCACCAGTGTCACCTCCCCAGCGCTGGTGCCCCCCGTTTGTCACCAGGGGCTCTGCTGTCCCCTCCCCTGTGGCACCCCCACAGTGCCCAGTTTGGCCCCAGTTTGTGCCCAGTTTGTCCCCGGGGTGGCTCTGGGGGCCGATGCGCAGTTAATTGCTGCTGTTAATTGCTGCAGTTAATTGCTACTGTTAATTAATTGCTGCTGTTAATTGCTGCTGTTAATTGCTGGTATTTAACGAGCCATTAAAATATTGCTGTTTATTTTTGTCATAGCCGTCGTTTGGTGCTCCCAGTTCGCACCAGTGTCACCAGTTTGTGCTCCCAGTTCGCACCAGTGTCACCAGTCTGTGCTCCCAGTTCGCACCAGTGCCCCCAGTCCCTGTAACCAGTTCACACCAGTGTCACCAGTCTGTGTCCCCAGCCCCTCCCAGTGTCCCCAGTTCACACCAGTGACCCCAGTCTGTGCTCCCAGTTCACACCGGTGCTCCCAGTTCACACCAGTGCCCCCAGTCCCTGTCCCCAGTTCACACCAGTGACACCAGTCCCTGTCACAAGTTCATGCCAGTTCCCCCAGTCTGTGTCCCCAGTTCACGCCAGTGATACCAGTCCACACCAGTGCCCCCAGTCCCTGTCCCCAGTTCACACCAGTGACCCCAATCTGTGTCCCCAGTCCATCCCAGTATCCCCAGTTCACACCAGTCGGTGGCTCTGTCTGTCCGTGTGTCTGTCCGGGGGGGGGGTCGGAACCTCCGCAGGGCGGAACGATCGTGCTCGGCCGCGGGCGCCGGGGGAGGGAGGGGAAGGGGAAGGGGAGGCTCCTCCCAGCGCATGCGCAGCCGGCCCGGCCCGGCCGCCGCCACCACCACCAGCACCATGTCGGCCCTGTGCGACCCCCCGGGCGGAGCGAGCCCCCCCAGACCCCCCCTCAGGTACCACCGGGACCCCCCCCGGGGGTGGGGATGGGACCCCCGGGACCCCCCTCCCTAGGGAATCCCTCCCACCGGGACCCTCCCCAGACCCCCCCTCAGGTACCACCAGGACCCCCAAGGGGTGGGGATGGGACCCCAGGACCCCTCACACCGGGACCCCCTCCCGGGACTCTCCCCAGACCCCCTCTCAGGTACCGCCGGGACCCCCCCAGGGGTGGGGATGGGACCCCCAGGATCCCCTCACACCAGGACCCCCTCCCCAGGACCCCCAGACCCCCTCTCAGGTACCGCCAGGACCCCAGGGGTGGGGATGGGACCCCAGGATCCCTCACACCGGGACCCCCACCCCAGGACTCTCCCCAGACCCCCTCTCAGGTACCGCCGGGACCCCCAGGGATGGGGATGGACCAGGATCCCCTTCCCAGGGGATCCCTCCCACCGGGACCCCCCGACTCAGGAACCTCCTCCCACCAGGATCCTCTCCCCCCTCCAGAAACCACCCAAGGAGGTCAAGGCCTTCCCTGGGGTCCCCCCACTTCCTCTAACACCCCTTTTCTCCCCCTCCCCAGCACCCAGGAGCTGTCCCAGGAGGTGAAGGCATTCCTGGGGGGTCCCTGGGGGTCCCTCCACCTTCTCTAACCCCCCTTTCCCTCCCCTCCCCAGCACCCAGGAGCTGTCCCAGGAGGTGAAGGCGTTCCTGAGCGGGCTGGACCCGGTGCAGGGCACGCCGCTGTCGCCGGCGTCGCACGCGCGCTGCGCCCTCCGCCTGCTGCGCTGCCTCCCGCCCGCCCGCCACGCCGCCCTGCACCACCTGCGGGGCCTCTTCGACGAGCAGGTCTGCGCCCACCTCCTGCAGCGGGAGGGACCCCCCTCGGGGGCGCCCAAGGGCGGCGGGGCGGGCGCCGAGGTGGTGCAGGAGGTGCGGGGGGCGCTGGCCGAGTTCGTGGGCGCCAACCCCAAGGCGTGGGCGCCCGGCGTGGCCGCCTGGGCCAGCGAGCTGATGGGGCAGCTGAGCAGCAAGTACGCGGGGCGGCCCGGCGTGCCGCCCGCCGCCAACCTCAACGAGCTGCTGCAGCTGTGGATGGGCTGCCCGGCCACGCGGGCGCTCATGGACATCTACACGCAGTGCCTGTCGGCCATGGTGGGCGGCTGCCCCGACGCCTGCGTGGACGCCCTGCTGGACACGTCGGTGCAGCACTCGCCGCACTTCGACTGGGTGGTGGCGCACATCGGCTCGTCCTTCCCCGGCACCATCATCAGCCGGGTGCTGTCCTGCGGCCTCAAGGACTTCTGCGCCCACGGGGCCGCCGCCGTCCCCGGTGATGCGGCGGCGGTGCCGGCGGCGGGGCCGGCGGGCGCGGATAAGAGGGCGCCCAAGATCGCGTCCGTGGTGGGCATCCTGGGCCACCTGGCCTCGCGCCACGCCGGCTCCATCAAGCAGGAGCTGCTGCGGATGTTCCACGAGAGCCTGGGCTCGGGCCGGGAGCAGCACAAGGCCACGGTGCCCTTCCTGCTGCAGCTGGCGCTGATGTCGCCGGCGCTGCTGGGCACGGTGTCGGCCGAGCTGGTGGACTCGCTGAAGCCGCCCGTGCTCAACCAGCTGCACCAGCACTTCTCGGCGCTGCCCCGCGACGAGCTGGAGCACGTGGTGGGCGTGGTGGTGCACCTCATCTCCCAGACCTCGGCCGGCGCCTTCCGCATCCTGCAGTTCCTGGTGGGCACGGCCATGCCCGCCTCGGTCATCACGGCCCCGCAGCCGGGCCCGCCGCTGCACGACGGGGTGCGCGAGGGCTGCGACCGCCTGGTGCAGCTGCTGCTGCTCAACCTGCAGAAGCTGGTGCACGGCAGGGCCGGCCCCGCGCCCGCCGAGGGCCCCCCGCGCCCGGTGCCCTTCCTGGAGGCGCTGCGGCCGCACGTGCGGGAGCTGTGCGTGGAGACGCTGCGGCTCGAGCGCAAGCGCTTCCTGTGGCAGCACCAGCTGCTGGGGCTGCTGGCCGTGTACTCGGCGCCGCACGGCGCGGCCGAGGCGCTCTTCTTCCTGCTGGCGCTGGCCAAGACGCCCGAGGAGCTGGCGCTGGCGCCGCAGCTGCACGCGGTGCTGTGCGCGGTGCTGCCCGACCCGCTGCCCGCCGCGGTGGCGGCGGCCGTGGCGCAGATCCACGCGGGGCGGCTGCCGGAGCCGCAGCTGGCGCAGCTGCTGCGCAACCTGGCGCTGCTGCTGCAGTGGGACGGCGGCGAGGCCGGCGGTGGTGCGGGCGTGGCGCTGGGCGCGGCGCTGGCGCGGCACCTGCCGGACCTGGCGCAGCTGCTGCTGCACCCCCGCGCCGAGGTGGGCGACGCGGCGTGCCGGCTGCTGGCCTCGTGCCCCTTCCCGCGGGCGCTGCCCCCGGCCCACGCGCTGCCCGCCGTGCGCGCCGCCGTGCACCACTTCTTCCTGGCGCTGCGGCGCGGCGAGGCGGCCGCCACGGCGCCGCGGCGCGGCTGCTGGCGCGGCTCAGCGGCCTGTCCGGCGCCGCCGCCAAGGCCGTGCTGGCGCAGCTGGTGGAGGGGGCCCTGCGGGGCCGCAACGCCGAGCTTTTCGGCGGCGAGGCCGAGCCCCCGCCCGGCGCCGAGGACCCCCCCGGCCGGCGAGCCCGGCGGCGCCGGCGTGTCCCTGCTGGACACCAACCGGCGCTTCAGCGCGGCGGTGAACTCGGCGGGCGGCGTGTGGTCGGTGTTCCACGCCGGCGTCATCGGCCGCGGGCTGAAGCCGGCGGCGCCGGGCGGCTCCGGCCGCCGCGACCCCGAGGAGTCCGCCCGCAACACCCACGCCTTCCTGAGCCTCCTGCTGCGCTGCTGCCGCGGCTCCCGCCCGGGGGACCCCGACCCCGGCGTCAGCCCCGAGGCCGCCAAGGCGGTGGCGGCGGCGCTGGTGGAGTCGGTGTGCCCGGAGGCGGCGGGCGGGGAGCTGGCGTGGCCCCCCGAGGAGCAGGCCCGCGGCACCGTGGAGCGCGACCTGCGCATCTGCCGGCGGTTCCGGGCGCAGCCGCTGCTGTTCCCGCTGCTGCGCGTGGTGGCCGCGGGGCGCCCGGCCCTCTGCTACTGCTCGGGGCTGCTGCGGGGGCTGCTGGCGGCGCTGGTGGCCCACTGGGACGCCTGCCGGGACCCCCGCACGGACGCCTCGCCCTGGCACCTGCAGGCGTCGTGCGCGCTGGTGGCGCTGCTGGCCGAGGGGTCGCTGCTGCCCCCCGTGCTGGGCAACATGCACGAGCTGTTCCCGCAGCTGGCGCCCTTCGAGCTGCACCTGCTGCTGCTGCTGGTCTGGGACTTCCTGCGCGAGAACGGGCCCCTGCCCCAGAAGTTCACCTTCCAGCCCCAGCGCGGCACCTTCCGCCGCGACTTCTCCCGCGACGGCGACCTGGGCCGGCACCTGGCGGTGCTGCACAGCGTCCTGCACAAGAACATCCAGCGCCTGGGGCTGCTGGCAGGCAGGTTCTACCCCTGAGACCCCCCCAGGAGGGGAGTCAGGGGGTCCTGGGGGTGTTGGCCGGCAGATTCTACCCCTGAGACCCCCCCAGGAGGGGAGTCAGGGGGTCCTGGGGGTGTTGGCCGGCAGGTTCTATCCCTGAGAGACCCCCCAGAGGTGGAATTGGGGGTGTTAGAGGGGTTCTGGGGGTGTTGGCCAGCAGGTTCTACCCCTGACAGACCCCCCCAGCAGGGGAATCAGGGGGTGCTGGTGGGGGGGTTCTACCCCTGAGACCCCCCAGAGGTGGAATTGGGGGTGTTCAGGGGGTCCTGGGGGTGCTGGCCAGCAGGTTCTACCCCTGACAGACCCCCCAGCTGGGGAATCGGGGTCCTGAGGGTGCTGGTGGGAGGGTTGTACCCCTGAGAGACTCCCCAGGGGGTGTTTGGGGGGTCCTGGGGGTGTTGGCCAGCAGGTTCTACCCCTGACAGACCCCCCAGCTGGGGAGTCAGGGGGTCTTGGGGGTGTTGGCCGGAAGGTTCTAGCTCTGAGACCCCCCCAGAGGAGGAATTGGGGGTGTTCGGGGGGTCCTGGGGATGCTGGCCGGCAGGTTCTACCCCTGAGAGACCCCCCAGAGGTGGAATTGGGGGTGTTCGGGGGTCCTGGGGGTGCTAGTGGGAGGATTGTACTCCTGAGACCCTCCCAGATGTGGAATTGGGGCTGTTCAGGGGTCCTGGGGCTGCTGCTGGGAGGGTTTTACCCCCGAGACCCCCCCTGGAATCCCCCCAGCTGTGGATTTGTAATAAAAGGGAGTAAAAAGGGACCCCCTGGGCCCAAATCGAGCTCTGTCTGGGATGGGGGGGAGGGGGCTTTGGGAGGTGCTGGGGTGGTCTGAGTGAAGTTTGGGGGGATCTTTGTTTGGGAGAGGGGGGTAGTGATGGGGGGGGCTCCCAGGGGGACTAGGGGTGTATTGGGGGTCCTGGGAGGGCTGAGGCACCTGGCCGAGGAGGAGTTTGGAGGAATTTGGGAGGGGGCCTTGGGGATCCTCAGAAATCCTGGGTGGCTCTACCCACGAGACCCCTCCCCTGGGGTAGGGGGTGGTTGTAGGGACCCCAGCCCCCAAAATCGGATTTGTAATAAAAGGAAGCAGAAAGGAGCAGTGGATGTGGAATGGGATGTCCCGTCGGGGGTTGGGAGGGTCTGGGGGCGTCCAGGGGGTCCTGGGGGGATGTTGGGGTTTGGTGATGATGGGGAGGGGGGGTCTGGAGGGTCCTGGGAGGGTCTGGAGGTGTCCGGGGAGGGTCCTGGGATTGGTGTTGTGGGTCTTGAAGGTCTCGGGGAGTGTTTAGGGGTGTCTGGGGGATTTGGGATCTGGGTGGATTTTGGGGGATCTGGGTGGATTTTGGTTGGGGTCTTTGGGGGCTCCTCACCCCGCCCTGTCAATCATCCATCTGTCCCCGCCCACCCCTCCCAACCGACCAATCACCGCGCGGCTCCCCCCCCTTCCTTGGCCCCGCCCCCGTCCGCGAGCGGGAAACGGACGGGATTTGTGGGCGGGGCCTCACGCGGGCGGGGACCAATCAGAGCCGGGCAGGGGGGCGGGGCCTCGGCCGGTTCCGGCGGCGGCGGCGGCGGCGGCGCGAGGATGTTTTACCACGTGAGCACCGGGAGGGTCACGTGACGCACCGGGAGGGTCACGTGACACACCGGGAAGGGGGAGGGTCCTAGGTACCCCGAGGGTTCCAGGGTCCTTGTGGAGGGGGGTCCCGAGGGCCCTCCCGGTGCGGGTCCCGCCGTTGTCCCCCGGTGGCTCCCGGGGGGGTTCCCGGTTTGCTCCGCGGGGTCCCGGTGGGGTCCCGGTGGGGTCCCGCTGTCCCACCCGCGGTGGGGAGTGGTCCCTGCGAAGTCCCGGTGGTCCCGACGGGGCTCCCGATGTGGCCCCGTTGGCCCTTGGGGGTTCCCGGTGCGCCGATGGGGGGTCCCGGTGGGGTCCCGGTGTGTTCTCTGAGGGGTCCCGGGGTGATCCCGGGGGGGCTCCCTGAGGCTCCCGGTGTGTTCCCGGGGCCTGGGGATGCCCGGGGGGGGTCCCCTGGGTGGTCCCGGTGTGATCCCGAGGGGGGGTCCCTGGATGGTCCCGGGGGTCCCGGTGTGTTCCTGGGGATGCCCGGGAGGGATCCCTGGGTGTTCCCGATGGGGTCCCGGGGGTAGGGGATGTCCCTGGGAGGGGTCCCAGGGGGTGAGTCTCGAGGGGTCCTGGGTGGTCCCAGGGATCCCGGTGTGTTCCTGGGGATGCCCCAGGGGGGGTCCCTGGGTGGTCCCAGGTGTTCCCGGGGTCCTGGGGATGCCCCGGGAGGGATCCTGGGTGTTCCCAGTGGGGTCCCAGGGGTAGGGGATGCCCGAGGGGGGGTGGTCCGTGGGTGTTCCCGGGGGTCCCTGGGTGGTCCCGGGGGTCCCGGTGTGTTCCCGGTGTGATCCCGGGGAGGTCCCTGGATGGTCCCGGGGGTCTCGGTGTGTTCTCTGGGGGTTCCCTAGAGGCTCCCAGGGGTCCCGAGTGGGTCCGGGTCCCAGGGCTCTGGGGGTCATGAGGCCCCAGGGCCGGGGGTCCCAGGTGGATCCCAGTGACCAGTGCCCCCAAGATCTCCCTGGAGCACGAGATCCTCCTGCACCCCCGGTACTTCGGGCCCAACCTGCTCAACACCGTCAAACAGAAACTCTTCACCGAGGTGGAGGGGACCTGCACCGGCAAGTGGGTCCCGCCGCCACCGGGAGGCACCGGGGGCAGCGAGACCCCGGGAGCAGCGAGACCCCGGGGGCACCAGGAGCGGGGATGAACCGGGAGACATCGAGACCCCGGGAGGCACCAGGAGCGGGGATGAGTTGGGGAGACATCGAGACCCCGGGGAGGGCACCGGGAGCAGGGATGAACCGGGAGGCATCGAGACCTCAGGGGGCATCGAGACCCCCAGGGAGAGCACCGAGACCACCAGGGGCACCGAGACCACAGGGGGCACCGGGGCGGGGGATGAACCGGGGGGCATCGAGACCTCAGGGGGCACCGGGACTGGGGTGGACACTGGGAAGTGAGCAGGGACCTCCCTTGAGATGACCCCAAACCCCCTGAGACACCCCCAGGACCCCCAAACATCCTCTGAGACACCCCCAGGACCCCTAAACATCCCCGAAACTCCCTGAGACACCCCAGACCCCCTAAACATCCCTGAGACACCCCAGACCCCCAAACATCCCCTGAACCCCCTGGGAACACCCTAGGACCCCCAAACCCCCTAAGACACCCCAGACCACCCAGACATCCCTGAACCTCTCTGAGAGACCCCAGACCCCCAAACATCCCTAGAGACACCCCAGACCCCTAAACATCCCCAAACTCCCTGAGACACCCCCAGACTCCTAAAGAATCTCCCAGACCTCCTCTAGAAGCCCCTGAGACACCCCCAGGACCCTCCAAACCCCCTAGAGACACCCCCAGACCCCCAAACCTCCTGAGACACCCCAGACCCCCAAACATCCCTAAACCCCCAGGACCCCCAAACATCCCTAAACCCCTAAGACACCCCAGACCCCCAAACATCCCTGAGACACCCCAGAACCCCTAAACCCCCCAGGACCCCCAAACATCCCTAGACACCCCAGGATCCCCAAACATCCTAAACCCCAGGACCCCCAAACATCCTAGAGACACCCCAGACCCTCTAAACCTCCCAGGACCCCCAAACACCCCAGGACCCCCCAGGACCCCCAAACACCCCTAAACCACCCCCAGACCCACTAAACCCCAGGACCCCCAAACACCCCAGGACCCCCAGGACCCCCAAAGCCCCCAGGACCCCCCTGGCCGTGTCCCCCCCCCAGGTACGGGTTCGTCATCGCCGTCACCACCATCGACAACATCGGGGCCGGGGTGATCCAGCCCGGCAGGGGCTTCGTCCTCTACCCCGTGCGCTACAAAGCCATCGTCTTCCGGCCCTTCAAGGGAGAGGTCGTGGACGCCGTGGTCACCCAGGTCAACAAGGTGACAATTTGGGGGGTCCTGGGGAGTCCTGAGTGTTCTGGAGGTGTTCTGGGGTCACTCAGGTCAACAAGGTGACAATCTGGGGGTCCTGGGGGGATTCTGGGGTCACCCAGGTCAACAAGGTGACAATCTGGGGGTCCGGGGGGGGTTCTGGGGTCACCCAGGTCAACAAGGTGACGATTTGGGGGGTTCTGTGGTCACCCAGGTCAACAAGGTGACAATCTGGGGGTCCTGGGGTGTTCTGGGGTCACCCAGGTCAACAAGGTGACGATTTGGGGGTCCTGGGGGTCTGAGTCACCAGGTCAACAAGGTGACGATTTGGGGGTCCTGGGGTCCTGGGTCACCCAGGTCAACAAGGTGACAGTTTGGGGGATCCTGGGGGGTCCTGGGGGGTCCTGGGGTCACCCAGGTCAACAGGGTGACAGTTTGGGGGTCCTGGAGGGTCCTGAGGGGTCCTGGGGGGGTTCTGGGGTCACCCAGGTCAACAAGGTGACAATTTGGGGGGTCCTGGGGGGTCCTGGGGGTGTTCTGGGGTCACCCAGGTCAACAAGGTGACAGTTTGGGGGGTCCTGGGGGTCTGGGGGTTCTGGGGTCACCCAGGTCAACAAGGTGACAGTTTGGGGGTCCTGGGGTGTTCTGGGGTCACCCAGGTCAACAAGGTGACAATCTGGGGGTCCTGGGGGGGTTCTGGGGTCACCCAGGTCAACAAGGTGACAATCTGGGGGGTCCTGGGGTCACCCAGGTCAACAAGGTGACAATTTGGGGGGTCCTGAGGGGTCCTGAGGGGTCCTGGGTGTGTTCTGGGGTCACCCAGGTCAACAAGGTGACACTTTGGGGGTCCTGGGGGTCCTGAGGGGTCCTGGGGTGTTCTGGGGTCACCCAGGTCAACAAGGTGACAATTTGGGGGGTCCTCGAGGAGGTCTGGGGGGTCCTGGGGGTGTTCTGAGGTCACCCAGGTCAACAAGGTGACGATTTGGGGGGTCCTGAGGGGTCCTGGGGGTGTTCTGGGGTCACCCAGGTCAACAAGGTGATGATTTGGGGGTCCTGGGGGGTCCTGAGGGGTCCTGGGGGTGTTCTGGGGTCACCCAGGTCAACAAGGTGACAATTTGGGGGGTCCTGAGGAGGTCTGGGGGGTCCTGGGGGTGTCCTGGGGTCACCCAGGTCAACAAGGTGACAATTTTGGGGGAGTCCTGGGGCGTCCTGAGGGGTCCTGGGGGTGTTCTGGGGTCACCCAGGTCAACAAGGTGACAATTTGGGGGTTCCCTGGGGGGGTCCCCAGGGTTCCTGAGGGTCTGCAGGGGTCGTGACCCCCCCTTTTGTGTCCCTGTTCCCCCCTCCCCCCAGGTCGGGCTGTTCACCGAGATCGGCCCCATGTCCTGTTTCATCTCCCGACACGTGAGGGGGGACCCCAAAACGGGGCACTGGGGGGGTGGGGGGACCCCAAAATGGTCATAGGGGACCCCAAAGGGTCATTGAGTGTAATGGGGACCCCAAAAAGGGGCACTGGGGGGGTGGGGGGACCCCAAAAGGGTCATTGGTGTAATGGGGACCCCAAAACGGGGCACTGGGGGGGTGGGGGGACCCCAAAATGGTCATGGGGACCCCCAAAAGGGTCATTGGGGTAATGGGGACCCCAAAAAGGGGCACTGGGGGTGAGGGACCCCAAAGGGTCATTGGGAGGGTGGGGACACCCCAAAAAGGGGCACTGGGGAGGGTGAGGGGACCCCAAAGGGTCATGGGGACCCCAAAGGGTCATTGGGGTAATGAGGACCCCAAAAGGGCTATTGGGAGGGGGTGGGGACCCCAAAGGGTCATTGGGGTCATGGAGGCCCCAAAAGGGGCACTGGGTGGGTGGGACCCCCAAAAGGGGCACTGGGGGTGGGGGGACCCAAAGCGGTCATGGGGACCCCCAAAGGGTCATTGGGGTCATGGGGACCCCAAAAGGGGCACTGGGGGTGGTGAGGGGACCCCAAAAGGGTCATGGGGACCCCAAAAGGGTCATTGGGGTCATGGAGGCCCCAAAAAGGGGCACTGGGGGGGTGGGGACCCCAAAATGATTATTGAGGTCATGGGGATCCCAAAAGGGTCATTGGGAGGGTGGGGGACCCCAAAGGGTCGTGGGGACCCCCAAAAGGGTCACTGGGGTAGTGGGTACCCAAAAGGGGGCACTGGGAGGGTGGGGGGACCCCAAAGGGTAATGGGGACCCCAAAAGGGTCATTAAGGGTCATGGAGGCCCCAAAAGGGGCACTGGGGGGGTGGGGACCCCAAAATGATTATTGAGGTCATGGGGATCCCAAAAGGGTCATTGTGGAGGGGGTGGGGACCCCAAAAAGTGGCACTGGGGGGGGGAGTGGGGACACCCCAAAAAGGGTCACTGAGGGGAGCAGGGGGTGGGGTGGGCTCAGGGACATCCCAGAAGTGTCACAGGGGATTTGGGGGCTCATCCCCTCCTTAAACCCCTCCCCCCCAGTCCATCCCCTCGGAGATGGAATTTGACCCCAATTCCAACCCCCTGCTACAAAACCGTGGATGAGGTGAGTCCTGGGGGGGTCCCAGTGCCCCCTTGTGTCCCCCTATCCCAGGGGTCCCAGACCACCCCAATCCCCTGACCCCCTGGCCCCCAGGACATCGTGATCCAGCAGGACGACGAGATCCGGCTCAAGATCGTGGGGACCCGCGTGGACAAGAATGACATCGTCAGTGGGGGAGGAGGAGGGCACATTTTGGGGAGGGGGTGTCCCCAATTCTTGGGAGGAGCTCCAAATTTGGGGGGGAAGGGGGGTTCCAGTATTTAGAGTGTCCTGTGTTCATATTGGGGGTGTTTCCAGCTCCGTGGGGGTCCCAATTCCACGGGAGGGGATCCCCAATTCGGGTGGAGTTTGTTCGTGGTGGGGAGAGGGTCTGGATGGGTTCCCCTCCCCACCTTTCCCCGTGTTGACCTTTGCCTCCCCCTCCCAGTTCGCCATCGGCTCCCTGATGGACGATTACCTGGGTGAGTCTGGGGGTCCCTGGGATGGGAGGGGGCATTCCTGGACCCCCCAGGGAAGGACTTGGGGAGGGCTCTGGGGAGGGGGGGTCTCTCCACTCTCACTCCCTTCTCCTTCTCCCCCCAGGCCTCGTCAGCTGAGCACAAGGAGCAGCCGTTTGTGTCCCCCCCCCCATCGTTTATCCCTACCCCCCCCAATTTTGTGTTGCCTCCAATTCTGGGACACCCCCAGAGCTGGGGGGGGGGAGGGGCTTTGCTATTCCCCACCACGAGTCTGCATTCCCAAATAAACTCCTTTTCCTTTCATTCCACCTTTTCCTCTTTCTTTTTTGGGGAGGGGGCACCAAAATTCCCTCTTGGGGGGGTCCCTACAAAGAGCTGGCCCCACCACCAGCATTGCCCCTTTAAGGCGGGGCATCGCCCTTTTAAAAGGGCAAACCCCGACTCCCATCGACGTCGCGTTTCCACGGCAACCCCGGCCGCGCTTTACGGCCCGGCGGCCTCAGCGTCGCGCGACCGTCGCGCTGTGCCAGCACCGCGGCACTTTCCGGCCTCGCGGCCCCGCCCCCCGGCCTCTCTGGGCTCGCCAAAATGGCCGTGTCGGGGGTGAGTGAGCGCGGCCTCCTCGACATCTACTGCCATCCGCCCTTCCCTGCCGCCCCCCGCCCGCCCCGCCGCCACCACCGCGTCCCCGGGGGTCCCGGGCACCGGCCGGGAGGGGTTTGGGGGCGAGGGGGTTGGCGGGGGGCCGCGGGATGGCGGTGATTTTGGGGAGGGTGTTGGGGGTGAGGCCTGAGGGGAGGCCTGAGGAGATGGAGCGGCCTCAGGGTGGGGTTGAGGAGGTCGGGGTGGGGTCTGTGGATGCTGGGGGTGTCCTGGGTGGGACGGTCACCGCGTTGTCCTTGAGGGTCCCGTGGGGACCCCTCTCGTTGTCCGGCGCAGGGCAGTGACCGCAGTGCCCCCAACCTGGATGGGGTCGCTTGTGCCTTCACATCCCCCACCCACCCATGACAAAGTCACGTCAGGACCCCACCTCCCTTTTTCCACCACCTGACACCCTCTTGTGCCCTCCCCACCCTCTCCTCAGACCTCTTTGGGCCCTCCCGACCTTTGGGGCCTCCCCACGACCTTTTGGGACCCCCTCAACCCCTTCACACGGGGGTCCACCCCAAAGACCGGGGGGTCTCTCAAGGCTCTGGTTGTGACGCTCCAATCCGCTGACCCCTCAGAGACACTCTGTGACCCCCCCGTGCCCCCTCCCTCCCTCGACCTTTTGAGGCCCCCGTGACCCCCACCCCCTGTACCCCCACCCAACCCCTTTGGAGCCCCCTGAGATTTTTGCCCCCAGACCCTTCACGTGGACCCCAAGACCTGGGGCTTCTTCCAGTCCTGATTGTGGCCCAGCACTGCAGGACCCAACTTGGGACCCCCTGGAACCTCCCACCCGTGACCCCCCTTGTGCCCCCCACCCCTTCAATCTCCCCCTGACCCTTTGGGGCCCCCTGAGCCCTTGTTTTCCCCCAGAGCCTGTACACGGACCCCGAGAACTGGGGAGCGTTCAAGGCTCTGATTGCTGCTCAGCACTGTGGGACCCTCTCTGGCCACTCAGGACCCCCTGGAACCTCCCCCTGTGCCCCCACCCCTTCAATCTCCCCCTGACCCTTTGGGGCCCCCTGACCCTTTGGGGCCCCCTGAACCCTTTTCCCCCAGACCCTGTACACGGACCCCGAGAACTGGCGGGCATTCAAGGCTCTCATTGCCGCTCAGGACTGTGGGACTCCACTCTGCCCACTAGGGACCCCTGGAACCTCCCCCTTTACTCCCCTGTGCCCCCACCCTTCAATCTCCCCTGACCCTTTGGGGTCTCCCTGACCCTTTAGGGCCTCCTGACCTCCCAGACCCTGTACACGGACCCTGAGAACTGGCGGGCGTTCAAGGCTGCTGATTGCTGCTCAGGACTGTGGGACCCCACTCTGCCCACTGGGGACCCCTGGAACCTCCCCCCTTTCTCCCCCTGTGCCCCCCACCCTTCAATCTCCCCTGACCCTTAGGGGCCCCCTGAACCCTTTTTCCCCAGACCCTGTACACATACCCCGAGAACTGGCGGGCGTTCAAGGCTCTCAGACTGCCGCCCAGTACTCGGGCACTCGGGACCCCTGTAACCTCCCCCTGTGCCCCCCTGTGCCCCCACCCCTGTACCCCCTCCAACGACTCTTTGGGATCCCCTGACCCTTTGGGGCCCCCTGACCACCTCTTGCCCTCCCCAGACCCTGTACACAGGTTGTGGCCCAGCACTGTGGGACCCCACTCTGCCCACTGGGGACCCCTGGAACCTCCCCCCATGCCCCCAGTGCCCCCCTGTACCCCCACCAATGACCCTTTGGGGTGCTGCCCCCAGACCCTGTACACGTACCCCGAGAACTGGCGGGCGTTCAAGGCTCTGATTGCCGCTCAGGACTGTGGGACCCCACTCTGTGCCCACTCAGGACCCTCTGGAACCTCCCCCTGTGCCCCCCTGTGCCCCCACCCCTTCTATCTCCCCTGACCCTTTGGGGCCCCCTGAACCCTTTTTCCCCCAGACCCTGTACATGTACCCTGAGAACTGGGCGGGCATTCAAGGCACTCATTGCCACTCAGGACTGTGGGACCCCACTCTGCCCACTCAGGACCCCCTGGAACCTCCCTCCTTTTCCCCCCTTGTGCTCCCCACCCCTTCAATCTCCCTCTGACCCTTTGGGGCCCCCCCGACCCCTTTTTCCCCCCAGACCCTGTACACGTACCCGAGAGCTGGCGGGCGTTCAAGGCTCTCATCGCCGCCCAGTACTCGGGCGCTCGGGACCCCTGTAACCTCCCCTGTGCCCCCCTGTGCCCCCACCCTCTGTACCCCTCCAATGACCCTTTGGGGTCCCCTTGACCCTTTGGAGCCCCCCGACCCCCTTTGCCCTCCCCAGACCCTGTACACAGGTTGTGGCCCAGCACTGTGGGACCCCACTCTGCCCACTGAGGACCCCTGGAACCTTCCCCCTTCCCCCTTGTGCCCCCACCCCTTCTATCTCCCTCTACCCCATTGGGGCCCCCTGACCCCTTTTTCCCCCAGACCCTGTACACGTACCCTGAGAACTGGGCGGGCATTCAAGGCACTCATTGCCACTCAGGACTGTGGGACCCACTCTGCCCACTCAGGACCCCTGGAACCTCCCCCTTTCTCCCCCTGTGCCCCCACCCCTTCTATCTCCCCTGCCCCTTTGGGGCCCCCTGACCCCTTTTTCCCCCAGACCCTGTACACGTGCCCGAGAACTGGCGGGCGTTCAAGGCTCTCATCGCCGCCCAGTACTCGGGCACCCGACTCTGTGCCCACTCAGGACCCCTGGAACCTCCCCCTTCATCCCCCTGTGCCCCCCACCCCTTCAATTTCCCCCTGCCCCTTTAGGGCCCCCTGAACCCTTTTCCCCCAGACCCTGTACACACGTACCCGAGAACTGGGCGGGTGTTCAAGGCTCTCATTGCCGCTCAGGACTGTGGGACCCCACTCTGCCCACTGGGGACCCCTGGAACCTCCCCCGTGCCCCCCTGTGCCCCCACCCCTGTACCCCCTCAATGACCCTTTGGGGTGCTGCCCCCCAGACCCTGTACATGTACCCCGAGAACTGGCGGGCGTTCAAGGCTCTCATCACCGCCCAGTACTTGGGCACTCGACTCTGTGCCCACTCAGGACCCCCTGGAACCTCCCCCTTCCTCCCCCGTGCCCCCCCACCCCTTCTATCTCCCCTGCCCCTTTAGGGCCCCCTGAACCCTTTTCCCCCCAGACCCTGTACACGTACCCCAAGAACTGGGGGCGTTCAAGCGTTCATTGCCGCTCAGCACTGTGGGACCCCACTCTGCCCACTGGGGACCCCTGGAACCTCCCCCGTGCCCCCTTGTGCCCCCAGCCCTGTTCCCCTCCAACTGACCCTTTGGGGTCCCCTCTGACCCTTTGGAGCCCCTCTGACCCTTTGGGGCCCCCTGACCCCCTTTGCCCTCCCCAGACCCTGTGCACAGGTTGTGGCTCAGCACTGTGGGACCCCACTCTGCCCACTGGGGACCCTGGAACCCCCTTCCTCCCCCGTGCCTCCCACCCTTTAATCTCCCCCTGCCCCTTTGGGGCCCCCTGAACCCTTTTTCCCCCAGACCCTGTACACGTACCCGAGAACTGGCGGGCGTTCAAGGCTCTCATCGCCGCCCAGTACTCGGGCGCTCGGGACCCCTGTAACCTCCCCTGTGCCCCCTGTGCCCCCACCCTCTGTACCCCCTCCAATGACCCTTTGGGGTCCCCTTGACCCTTTAGGGCCCCCCTGACCCCCTTTGCCCTCCCCAGACCCTGTACACAGGTTGTGGCCCAGCACTGTGGGACCCACTCTGCCCACTGGGGACCCCCTGGAACCCCCTTCCTCCCCCGTGCCCCCACCCCTTCAATCTCCCCTGCCCTTTAGGACCCCCTGAACCTCTTTTTCCCCCAGACCCTGTACACGTACCCCGAGAACTGGCGGGCGTTCAAGGCTCTCATCGCCGCCCAGTACTCCGGCGCTCGGCTCCGCGTCCTCTCCTCGCCCCCCCACTTCCACTTCGGGCAGACCAACCGCACCCCCGAGTTCCTGCGCAAGTTCCCCCTGGGCAAGGTGAGCGGTTGGGGGCTTGGGGGAGGTGGGGAGGGGGCTTTGAGGGGGATGGTCAGGCCCAAACCGCCTCCCTCGTGCCCCTTCCCCAGGTGCCGGCGTTCGAGGGCGACGACGGGTTCTGCGTCTTCGAGAGCAACGCCATCGCCTACTATGGTGAGGGGCCAGCTGGGCACCCCCCTTAACCAGCTGGGCACCCCCTTGAATGAGCTGGGCACCCCAGTTTAACCAGCTGGGCACCCCCCTTAACTAGCCGGGCACCCCTTTAACCAGCTGGGCACCCCTTGAATGAGCTGGGTACCCCTTTAACCAGCTGGGCACCCCCTTTAACCTACTGGGCACCCCCTTGAATGAGCTGGGCACCCCAGTTTAACCAGCTGGGTACCCACCTTTAACCAGCTGGGCACCCCAATTTAATGAGCTGGGCACCCCCCTTAATCAGCTGTGCCCTCCCTTAACCAGCTGGGCACCCCCTTAACCAGCTGGGCACCCCCTTTAACCAGCTGGGCACCCCCCTTAACCAGCTGGGCACCCCCTTTAACCAGCTGGGCACCCCCTTAACCAGCTGGGCACCCCCCTTAACCAGCTGGGCACCCCCCTGAACCAGCTGGGCAACCCCCTTAACCAGCTGGGCACCCCAATTTAACCAGTTGTGCTCTCCCTTAACCAGTTGTGCCCCCCCCTTAACCAGTTGTGCCCTTCAGTAACTAGCTGTAACTCTCTTAACAAGTTTTATTCTTTATTCATGACTTTGATGCCCCTTTAACAAGTTTTATCCCTTTTAACTACTTTTATTCCTTGATAGCAAGACTTCCTTTTTTCTTAACTAGTTTTATGCCACTTTTATCAGGTTTTAACTGCCTTCACTAGTTGTGTTTCCCAGTAACAGTTTTTACATCCTTTAAAGGAGTTTTATTCAATTATAAGTAGTTTTATTACCATTAATAAGTTTTACTGCCTCATGAACAAATTTTGTTGCCCTTAACAAGTTTTCCTTTATATTAACGAGTCTTAATGTTTTTAACTAGTCTTAGTTTTTCCTGACCCGCCCTTAACCCCCTTAACCAATTCTCCCCCTCCCCAACCTTTTTTTTCACTTTGAGTGACTTTTTTCCCCTCTTGCACCAACTCTAACGAGTTTTACCCTCTCTTTACCCACTTCAATCCCCTCTTAACCAGTCTCCCCTACCCTTAACTAGTCTGGTGTGCCCTTAACCAGCTGTTTGTGCCCTCAGTGAGCACGGAGGAGCTGCGGGGCAGCACCCCCGAGGCGGCGGCCGCGGTGCTGCAGTGGGTCAACTTCGCCGACAGCGACGTCGTGCCCCCCGCCAGCACCTGGGTCTTCCCCACCCTGGGCATCCTGCACTACAACAAGCAGGTGGGGGGGCTTTGGGGGGAGGTTTTGGGGGTCCTGGAGGGGTTTGGGGGGGTCCTGGGGGTCAGGGAGGGTCAGGGGTACAGGGACACAGGGATGTGGTGCCCCCCGCCAGCACCTGGGTCTTCCCCACCCTGGGCATCCTGCACTACAACAAGCAGGTGGGGGAGCTTTTGGGGGGGTTTTGGGGGTCCTGGAGGGGTTTGGGGGGTCTTGGAGGGGTTTTGGGGGTCCTGGAGGGGTTTTGGGGTCCTGGGGGTCTCAGGGCTTAGGGACATGGGGACACAGGGATGTGGTGCCCCCCACCAGCACCTGGGTCTTCCCCACCCTGGGCATCCTGCACTACAACAAGCAGGTGGGGGGGCTTTTGGGGAGGTTTTGGGGGTCCTGGAGGGGTTTTGGGGGTCCTGGGGATCAGGGAGGGTGAGGGGTACAGGGACACAGGGATGTGGTGCCTCCGCCAGCACCTGGGTGTTCCCCACCCTGGGCATCCTGCACTACAACAAGCAGGTGGGGGGCTTTGGGGGAGGTTTTGGGGGTCTTGGGGGTCTCAGGGCTTAGGGACATGGGGACACAGGGATGTGGTGCCCCCAGCAGGACATGGGTGATCCCCACCCTGGGCATCCTGCACTACAACAAGCAGGTGGGGGGCTTTGGGGGGTCTTGAGGGGGTTTTGGGGGTCCTGAGGAGATTTTGGGGGTCCCGGAGGGGTTTTGGGGGTCCTGGAGGGGTTTGGGGGGGTCCTGGGGGTCAGGGAGGGTCAGGGGTACAGGGACACAGGGGTGTGGGTGTTCCCCACCCTGGGCATCCTGCACTACAACAAACAGGTGGGGGGCTTTTTGGGGGATTTTGGGGTCCTGGGATGGATTTTGGGGGTCTGGGTGATCCTGGGGGGCTCCTTTGAGGGGCTCCAAACCAGGGGGCTCCTCTTGGGAGGGTCCTGGAATGGCCAAGGGGGTCCTTGGGGAGGGTCTGGGGGACTCCTTGAAGGGCACTGGGGTCAAAGTGGGGTCTGTTTTGGGGGTGCTGGGGGAAAATTCATCACTTGGGGGTCTCCTTGGTGGGGGGTCGGGGTCTCTTTTCTGGGGGCTTGCAGCCCCCCTCTCCAACACCCCCTCTCCCAACACCCCCCCATCGGTGCCGCTGCTTTCGGAGTTGCCCTTTTTGGGGTGGTCCCATCTCCTCATGGGGGGTCAGGGGTGGTGTCAGAGCCCCCCTCCCAAATTTGGGGTGTGTTTTTATCCCCCCCAGGCGACGGAGCTGGCGAAGGAGGAGGTGAGGAGGGTCCTGGGGGTCCTGGACGCCCACCTGAAAACCAGGACCTTCCTGGTGGGCGAGCGCGTGTCCCTGGCTGACATCACCCTGGTCTGCGCCCTGCTCTGGCTCTACAAGCAGGTAGGGGGGAATTGGGGGGGTTTAGGGGGGTCCCAGGGGGTTTCCCTGGCTGGCATCACCCTGGTCTGCACCCTGCTCTGGCTCTACAAGCAGGTAGGGGAGTTGGGAGGTCCCAGGGTTTTTGGGGGTCCTGGAGGGGTTTAGGGGTGTTTTGAGGGGTCTGGGAGGAGTTTTGGGGGGGGGTCTCAGGGGGATTTCTCTGGCTGACATCACCCTGGTCTGCACCCTGCTCTGGCTCTACAAGCAGGTAGGGGGATTGAGGGGGTTTAGAGGGGTCCCAGGGGTGTTTGGGGGGTCCTGGAGGGTTTAGGGGTGTTTGAGTGGTCTGGGAGGAGTTTTGGGGGTCCCAGGGGGTTTTCCTGGCTGACATCACCCTGATCTGTGCCCTGCTCTGGCTCTACAAGCAGGTAGGGGGAATGGGGGGTTTAGGGGGGTCCTGGAGGGGTTTAGGGGGTCTTTGGGTCTTGGGGTGGCATTTAGGGCTGTCCTCGAGGGGTTTAGGGGGTCCCAGGGGTGTCCCTGGCTGACATCACCCTGGTCTGCGCCCTGCTCTGGCTCTACAAGCAGGTGGGGGGCTTGGGGGGTCCCAGGGGTGTTTGGGGGTCCCAGGGGATATTTAGGGGGTCCCAGGGGTGTTTAGGGCGTCCCAGGGGGTATTTGGGGGTGTCAGGGGATCGTGAGGGGGTTTCCATGTCCCCCTTTCCCCCATTCCCAGGTACTGGACCCAGCGTTCCAGGGGGATTTTGGGGTATCCTAGGAAGGGTTCTGGGGGTATTTGGGGGTTCCAAGGGGGTGTCTGGGGATCCCAGGGAGTATTTGAGGGGTCCCAGGTGGTGTTTGGGGGTTGGAGGATCCCAGGGGGGTCCCAGGGGTGTTTGGGGGTCCCATGGGGTGCTGAGGGGGTTTCCATGTCCCCCTTTCCCCCATTCCCAGGTGCTGGACCCGGCGTTCTGGGGGAGGGTTTGGGATATCCTGGGAGGGGTCCTGGGGGTATCTGGGGGTTGGAGAATCCCAGGGGGTCCCGGGGTATCTGGGGGTTGGGGTATCCTAGGAGGGTCCCGGGGGTGTTTGGGGGGTCTCAGAGGTTGTCTGGGGGTCTCAGGGGTATTTGGGGGGTCCCATGGGATGCTGAGGGGGTTTCCATGTCCCCCTTTCCCCCATTCCCACGTGCTGGACCCGGCATTCCGGGGGAGGGTTTGGGATATCCTGGGAGGGGTCCCGGGGGTATCTGGGGGGTTGAAGGATCCCAGGGGGGTCCCAGGGGTGTTTGGGGGGTCCCATGGGTTGTTGAGAAGGTTTCCATGTCCCCCTTTCCCCCATTCCCAGGTGCTGGGCCCAGCGTTCCAGGGGGATTTTGGGGTATCCTAGGAAGGGTTCTGGGAGTGTTTGGGGGGTCCAAGGGGGTGTCTGGGGATCACAGGGAGTATTTGAGGGGTCCCAGGTGGTGTTTGGGGGGTTGGAGGATCCCAGGGGGGTCCCAGGGGTGTTTGGGGGTCCCATGGGGTGCTGAGGGGGTTTCCATGTCCCCCTTTCCCCCATTCCCAGGTGCTGGACCCGGCGTTCCGGGGTCCCTTCGGGAACGTCAACCGCTGGTTCCTCACCTGCCTCAACCAGCCCCAGTTCAAGGCTGTGCTGGGAGAGGTCCAGTTGTGCCAGAGGATGGCCCAGTTCGATGGTGAGGGGCTGGGGGGGGGGTCCTGGGGGGGCTCAGGGACACCCTGAGGACACAGGGACACCCCTGGGGACACAGGGACACCCCTGGGGACACAGGGACACCCCTGGGGGGGTCCCACCTCAACCAGCCCCAGTTCAGGGCTGTACTGGGAGAGGTCCAGTTCGATGGGGTGGTCCTGGGGGGGCTCAGGGACACCCTGGGGACACAGGGACACACTTTGGGGACACAGGGACACATCTTGGGGACAATGGGACACCCCTGGGGGGGTCCCACCTCAACCAGCCCCAGTTCGGGGCTGTACTGGGAGAGGTCCAGTTTGATTGGGGGGGTCCTGGGGGGGACTCAGGGACACCCTGGGGGGACACAGGGACACCCTGGGGGTCCCACCTCAACCAGCTCCAGTTCAGGGCTGTCCTGGGAGAGCTTCAGTTCGATGGTGAGGGGGTGGGGGGGGTCCTGGGGGACTCAGGGACACCCTGGGGACAATGGGACACCCCTGGGGACACAGGGACACACTTTGGGGACACAGGGACACCCCTGGGGGGGTCCCACCTCAACCAGCCCCAGTTCAGGGCTGTACTGGGAGAGCTCCAGTTCAATGGGGGGGGTTCCTGGGGGGGCTCAGGGACACCCTGGGGGACACAGGGACACCCCTTGGGGACACAGGGACACCCCTGGGGGACACAGGGACACACTTTGGGGACACAGGGACCCACAGGGTCACACCTCAGCCAGCCCCAGTTCAGGGCTGTACTGGGAGAGGTCCAGTTCGATGGGGGGGGTCCTGGGGGGGCTCAGGGACACCCCTGGGGGACACAGGGACACACTTTGGGGACACAGGGACACCCCTGGGGGGGTCCCACCTCAACCAGCCCCAGTTCAGGGCTGTACTGGGAGAGGTCCAGTTCAATGGGGGGTCCTGGGGGGACACAGGGACACCCTGGGGACACAGGGACACCCCTGGGGGACTCAGGGACACCCCTGGGGACACAGGGACACCCCTGGTGGGGTCACACCTCAACCAGCCCCAGTTCAGGGCTGTACTGGGAGAGCTCCAGTTCGATGGTGAGGGGCTGGGGGGGGTCTTGGGGGGGCTCAGGGACACCCCTGGGGGACACAGGGACACCCCTTGGGACACAGGGACACCCTGGGGTCACACCTGAACCAGCCTCATATAAGATTTTTGTGGGTTGGAGAAATGGAAATTCAAAGGTATTTTTTGTGCAATAAAAGCGGAATTTAAGGTGTTTTTTTAGGGTGAAAAAGGTAATTCAAAGGATTTTTGGGGAGAACATTAAAGGGAGATTTTGATTTTAATGTTTATGGGAAAATGAGAACTCTGAGTAAATTATTTTGGAGGGAAAAAAAGGGATTTGGGGATGTTTTTTCTGAGGGTGGGAAAAAAAAAATCCACTTTTTGGGGGTGGTTTTTTTTTTTCTGGGGGGGAGCAGCCAAGAAATTTGCAGAGACCCAGGCCAGGAAGGAGGAGAAAACCCCCCGAAAGGAGAAGGAGAAGGACAAGGAGCCCCCCAAGAAGGAGAAGCCCCCCAAGAAGGAGGAGAAGCGAACGGAGGCCGAGGAGGAGCTGGACGAGTGCGAGCAGGTCCTGGCGGCCGAGCCCAAGGCCAAGGACCCCTTTGCCCACCTGCCCAAGAGGTGAGGGGGGTTGGGGGCACTTTGGGGGGTTGGGGTCACTTTGAGGGGATTTGGGGGCATTTTGAGGGTGTTTGGGGGCATTTTGAGGGGTTTGGGGGCATTTTGAGGGGGTTTGGGGACACCTTGAGGAGGTTTGGGGGCATTTTGAGGGGGTTTGGGGACACCTTGAGGGGGTTTGGGGGCATTTTGAGGGCGTTTGGGGGCACTTTGAGGGGGTTTGGGGGCATTTTGAGGAGGTTTGGGGAGCCTGGGGTGGGTTTGGGGTCCCTTTGAGGGGGTTTGGGGGAGCTTGAGGGGTGTTTGGGGTCACCTTGAGGAGGTTTGGGGAGCTTGAGGGGGTTGGGGATGCTTTGAGGGGGTTTGGGGGCATTTTGAGAGGGTTTGGGGGTACCTGGGGTGGGTTTGGGGTCACTTTGAGGGGGTTTGGGGTCACCCTCAGGTGTTGACCTTGTCCCCCTTCTCTCCCTTTGCCCCTCCTGCCCTTTCCTGTTCTCCTTGTCCCCTCTTGTCTCCTCATCTCTTGCTGTCCTTATTGTCCCCTTGTTGTTTATTGTCGTTCCTGTCCCTTATTGTCCCCTTGTCCCCCCATCCCCCCAATGTCCCCTTGTCCTCTCCTGTCCCCTGCTGTCCCCCCTGTCCCCTGCTGTCCTCCCCATCCCCCAATGTCTCCTGTCCCCTCCTGTCCCCCCTTGTCACTCCCTTGTCCCTTACTGTGCCCGTGTCTCCTCCTGTCCCCCTGTCCCTTTCTGTCCCCTGCTGTCCCTCCCAATGTCCCCTGTCCCTCCATCCCCCAATGTCCCCCTGTCTCCTGCTGTCCCCCTCCCCCCAATGTCCCCTGCTGTCCCCCAATGTCCCCCTGTCCCTCCATCCCCCAATGTCCCCCTGTCCCCTGCTATCCCCTCAATGTCCCCCTGTCCTCTCCTGTCCCCTCCTGTCCCCCATCCCCCAATGTCCCCTGTCCCCCAATGTCCCCTGTCCCCCAATGTCCCCCCAATGTCCCCCCTGCCCCCTGTCCCCTCTGTCCCCCCAGCCCGTTCGTCCTGGACGAGTTCAAGCGCAAATATTCCAACGAGGACACTCTGGGGGTGGCCCTGCCCCACTTCTGGGAGCACTTCGACCGCGAGGGCTGGTCCCTCTGGTACGCCCAGTACCGCTTCCCTGAGGAGCTGAGCCAGACCTTCATGAGCTGCAACCTCATCACCGGTGAGAGCCTTCATCACCCTCATCATCATCATCCTCATCCTCCTCATCATTGTCCCCATCCTCATCCTCCTCCTGCTACCCCTTCCCCATCCCCTTCATCCTCCTTCCTTTCCCTGAGGAGCTGAGCCAGACCTTCATGAGCTGCAACCTCATCACTGGTGAGAGCCTTCATCACCCTCATCATCCTCATCATCCTCCCCATCATCCTCTTCCTTACCATCCCCATCCTCCTCCTGCTACCCCTTCCCCATCCCCTTCATCCTCCTTCCTTTCCCTGAGGAGCTGAGCCAGCCCTTCATGAGCTGCAACCTCATCACTGGTGAGAGCCTTCAGCCTCCTCATCATCCTCATCTTCATCCTCATCACTGTCCCCATCACCATCCCCATCCTCATCCTCCTCCTGCCACCCCTTCCTGCCCCTTCCTCCTGCTCCTTCCCTGAGGAGCTGAGCCAGCCCTTCATGAGCTGCAACCTCATCACCGGTGAGAGCCTTCAGCCTCCTCCTCCTCCTCATCATCATCATCTTCATCATCCCCATCATCCTCATCCCCATCCTCATCCTCCTCCTGCTACCCCTTTCCCATCCCCTTCCTGCTCCTTCCCTGAGGAGCTGAGCCAGCCCTTCATGAGCTGCAACCTCATCACCGGTGAGAGCCTTCATCACCCTCATCATCCTCATCATCCTCCCCATCATCCTCTTCCTCACCATCCCCATCCTCCTCCTGCCACCCCATCCCCTTCCCTGAGGAGCTGAGCCAGCCCTTCATGAGCTGCAACCTCATCACTGGTGAGAGCCTTCAGCCTCCTCCTCATCATCATCATCATCACTGTCCCCATCATCATCCTCATCCTCCTCCTGTCCCCCTTCCCCATTCCCTTCATCCTCCTCCCCTTCCCTGAGGAGCTGAGCCAGACCTTCATGAGCTGCAACCTCATCACCGGTGAGAGCCTTCATCACCCTCATCATCACCTTCATCATCTTCATCTTCATCCTCATCCTCCTCATCACCATCCTCATCCTCCTCCTGCCACCCCTTCCCCATCCCCTTCCTGCTCCTTCCCCGAGGAGCTGAGCCAGCCCTTCATGAGCTGCAACCTCATCACTGGTGAGAGCCTTCATCACCCTCATCATCATCCTCTTCATTCTCATCATCCTCCTCCTCACCATCCCCATCCTCATCCTCCTCCTGCCACCCCTTCCCCATCCCTCTCCTCCTGCTCCCCTTCCCTGAGGAGCTGAGCCAGCCCTTCATGAGCTGCAACCTCATCACTGGTGAGAGCCTTCAGCCTCCTCATCATCATCCCCATCATCCTCATCACCATCCCCATCTTCCTCCTCCTGCCACCCCTTCCCAATCCCCCTCCTCCTTCTCCCCTTCCCTGAGGAGCTGAGCCAGACCTTCATGAGCTGCAACCTCATCACCGGTGAGAGCCTTCATCACCCTCATCATCACCTTCATCATCCTCATCTTCATCCTCATCCTCCTCATCACCATCCTCATCCTCCATCCTGCACCTTTTATCCATCCCTCCTCCTTCTCCCCTTCCCTGAGGAGCTGAGCCAGACCTTCATGAGCTGCAACCTCATCACTGGTGAGAGCCTTCATCACCCTCATCATCATCCTCATCTTCATCCTCATCTTCATCCTCATCCTCCTCATCATTGTCCCCATCCTCATCCTCCTCCTGTCACCCCTTCCCCATCCCCTTCCTGCCCCTTCCTCCTGCTCCTTCCCTGAGGAGCTGAGCCAGCCCTTCATGAGCTGCAACCTCATCACCGGTGAGGCCTTCCCGCCTCCTCCTCCTCCTCATCATCATCATCTTCGTCATCCCATCATCATCCTCATCCCCATCCTCATCACTCCTCCTGCTGCCCCTTTCCCATCCCCCTTCCCACTGCTCCTTCCCTGAGAGCTGCCAGCCCAGCCTTCATGAGCTGCAGCCTCATCGCGGTGAGAGCCTTCCATCACCCCTCATCATCCTCACATCATCCTCCCCATCATCCTCTTTCCTGCACCATCCCCATCCTCCTCCTGCCACCCCATCCCCTTCCCTGGGGAGCTGAGCCAGCCCTTCATGAGCTGCAACCTCATCACTGGGTGAGCCTTCAGCCTCCTCCTCATCATCATCATCATCACTGTCCCCATCATCATCCTCATCCTCCTCCTGTCCCCCTTCCCCATTCCCTTCATCCTCCTCCTTCCCTGAGGAGCTGAGCCAGACCTTCATGAGCTGCAACCTCATCACCGGTGAGAGCCTTCATCACCCTCATCATCACCTTCATCATCTTCATCTTCATCCTCATCCTCCTCATCACCATCCTCATCCTCCTCCTGCCACCCCTTCCCCATCCCCTTCCTGCTCCTTCCCCGAGGAGCTGAGCCAGCCCTTCATGAGCTGCAACCTCATCACTGGTGAGAGCCTTCATCACCCTCATCATCATCCTCTTCATTCTCATCATCCTCCTCCTCACCATCCCCATCCTCATCCTCCTTCTGCCACCCCTTCCCCATCCCTCTCCTCCTGCTCCTTCCCTGAGGAGCTGAGCCAGCCCTTCATGAGCTGCAACCTCATCACTGGTGAGAGCCTTCAGCCTCCTCATCATCATCCTCATCATCACTCATCACTCATCCTCATCTTCATCCTCCTCCTGCCACCCCTTCCCCATCCCCCTCCTCCTTCTCCCCTTCCCTGAGGAGCTGAGCCAGACCTTCATGAGCTGCAACCTCATCACCGGTGAGAGCCTTCATCACCCTCATCATCACCTTCATCATCCTCATCTTCATCCTCATCCTCCTCATCACCATCCTCATCCTCCTCCTGCCACCCCTTCCCCATCCCCCTCCTCCTTCTCCCCTTCCCTGAGGAGCTGAGCCAGCCCTTCATGAGCTGCAACCTCATCACTGGTGAGAGCCTTCATCACCCTCATCATCCTCATCTTCATTATCCTCATCCTCCTCATCATTGTCCCCATCCTCATCCTCCACCTGCACTTCCCCCATTCCTTCCTGCCCCTTCCTCCTGCTCCTTCCCTGGACCTCCGCCCAGACCTTCATGAGCTGCAGCCTCATCACTGGTAGAGAGCCTTCATCACCCTCATCATCATCACCTTCATCATCACTCATCATTTTCCCCCTTTTTCCCCCTTTTTTTCCCTCTTTTTTTCCCCTTTTTCCCCTTTTTCCTTCCTCTTTCCTTTCTTTTCTTTCTTTCCCTCCCTCTCCCTGTCCCTCCTCCATCGCTTCCCTCCCTCCCCTCCCTTCCCTCTTCCCTGACGCGTCTCCCCCCACCCCCAGGGATGTTCCAGCGCCTGGACAAGCTCCGGAAAAACGCCTTTGCCAGCGTCATCCTCTTCGGCAGCGACCACGACAGCAGCATCTCGGGGGTCTGGCTCTTCAGGGGGCAGGAGCTGGCATTTACCGTGAGTGAAACCCCCCAAAACACCCCAAAATATCCCCAAAACACCCCAAAATATCCCCACATCCACCCTCTGGCTCTTCAGGGGGCAGGAGCTGGCATTTACCGTGAGTGAAACCCCCAAAATATCCTCAAAAAATACCCCAAAACACCCCAAAATATCCTCAAATCCACCTTCTGGCTCTTCAGGGGGCAGGAGCTGGCGTTTACCGTGAGTGAAACACCCAAAATATCCCCAAAATATCCCCAAATCCATCCTCTGGCTCTTCAGGGGGCAGGAACTGGCATTTACCGTGAGTGACACCTCCAAAATATCCCAAAATATCCCCAAAATATCCCCAAATCCATCCCCTGGCTCCTCAGGAGTAGGCAGCTAGCATTTACCGTGAGTGACACCCCAAAATACACCCCAAAAATACCTCAAAACACCCCAAAATATCCCCAAATCCACCCTCTGGTTCTCCAGGGGCAGGAACTGCATTTACCGTGAGTGAAACCCCAAAATATCCCCAAAAATACCCCAAAATATCCCCAAAAACACCCTCTGGCTCTTCAGGGGGCAGGAGCTGGCATTTACCGTGAGTGAAACACCCAAAAATATCCCCAAAATATCCCAAAATATCCCCAAATCCCCCCTCTGGCTCTTCAGGGGGCAGGAACTGCATTTACCGTGAGATAGCAACACTCCCAAAACATCTCCCAAATAACTACCCAAACCAAGTCACCCTCAAAACACCCCAAAATACCCTCAAATCCACCCTCTGCTCTTCAGGGCAGGCTCACATTCACTGTAAGTGACACCCCAAAATATCCCCAAATACCTCAAAACACCCCAAAATATCCTCAAATCCACCCTCTGGCTCTTCAGGGGGCAGGAGCTGCATTTACTGTGAGTGACACCCCAAAATATTCTCAAAAATACCTCAAAACACCCCAAAATATCCCCAAATCCACCCTCTGGCTCTTCAGGGGGCAGGAGCTGGCATTTACCGTGAAAGACACCCAAAAACACCCCAAAACATCCCAAAATATCCAAAAATCCTTCCTCTGGCTCTTCCAGGGGCAGAAGCTGGCATTTACCGTGAGTGACACCCCAAAAATATCCCAAAAATACCCCAAATCCTTCCTCTGGCTCTTCAGGGGGCAGGAGCTGGCATTTACCGTGAGTGAAACACCCAAAAATATCCCAAAAATACCCTAAAATATCCCCAAATCCACCCTCTGGCTCTTCAGGGGGCAGGAGCTGGCATTTACCGTGAGTGAAACCCCCCAAAACACTCCAAAAACACCCAAAAAATACCCCAAAATATCCCCCAAAATATCCCCAAATCCACCTTCTGGCTCTTCAGAGGGCAGGAGCTGGCATTTACCGTGAGTGAAACCCCAAAACATCCCCAAAAATACCCCAAAATATCCCCAAAAATACCCCAAAATATCCCCAAAATACCCCAAAATATCCCCAAATCCACCCTCTGGCTCTTCAGGGGTCAGGAGCTGGCATTTAGCGTGAGTGAAACCCCAAAAATATCCTCAAAAATATCCCCAAAACACCCCAAAATATCCCCAAAACACCCCAAAATATCCCCAAATCCACCCTCTGGCTCTTCAGGGGGCAGGAGCTGGCGTTTACCATGAGTGAAACCCCCAAAACACTCTAAAAACACCCAAAAAATATCCCCAATCCACTCCAAAATATCCCAAATCCACAGACGGGGAGTTCTACACCTGCTGGAAAACCCCCTGAAATCCCCCAAATCCCCTCAAAACCCCTCCATAACCCCTGAATTCCCAGGATATCAGTTCATTTTGGGTTAATTCCCATTTTTTCCGTTTTTCCCAGCTGTGCCCAGACTGGCAGGTGGATTGGGAGCCCCACACCTGCTGGAAACCCCCTCAAACCTCCCTAAAATCCCCCTAAAACACCCCCAATTCCCAAAAGTCTCCCTCCTAAACCCCAATTCCCAGGATATCAGTTCATTTTGGGTTAATTCCTGTTTTTTCCCTGTTTTTCCCAGCTGTGCCCGGACTGGCAGGTGGATTGAGAGCCCCACACCTGCTGGAAACCCCCTCAAAAATTCCCCAAACCCCTCCTAATTCCCAAAAAACTCTTCCATAACCCCATAATTCCCAGGATATCAGTTAATTTTGGGCTAATTCCCGTTTTTTCCCTGTTTTTCCCAGCTGTACCTGGACTGGCAGGTGGATTGGGAGTCCCACACCTGCTGGAAACCCCCTCAAACCCCCCTAAAATCCCCCTAAAACACCCCCAGTTCCCAAAAAACTCTTCCATAACCCCCCAATTCCCGGGATATCGGCTCCTTTTGGGTTAATTCCCGTTTTTTCCCTGTTTTTCCCAGCTGTGCCCGGACTGGCAGGTGGATTACGAGTCCTACACCTGCTGGAAACCCCCTCAAACCCCCCTAAAATCCCCCTAAAACACCCTCAGTTGCCAAAAAACTCCCTCCTAACCCCCCAATTCCCAGGATATCAGTTCATTTTGGGTTAATTCCTGGTTTTTCCATGTTTTTTCCCATGTTTTTCCCAGCTGTGCCCGGACTGGCAGGTGGATGGGGAGCCCCACACCTGCTGGAAACCCCCTCAAAAATTCCCCAAACCCCTCCCAATTCCCAAAAAACTCCCCCCTAACCCCATAATTCCTGGGATATCGGCTCTTTTTAGGTTAATTCCCATTTTTTTCCCTGTTTTTCCCAGCTGTGCCCGGACTGGCAGGTGGATTACGAGTCCTACACGTGGCGCAAGCTGGACCCCGACAGCGCCGAGTGCCGGACCCTGGTGACGGAATATTTCCTGTGGGAAGGGGAATTCCGGCACGTGGGGAAACCCTTCAACCAGGGCAAGATCTTCAAGTGATCCCACAGGGATTGGGATCGGGATTGGGGGGGGGATCCCAGGCTGAGACATCCCGGGGAATCCTGGGATCCTCCCGGGCTGATCCCAGGGAATCCATCCTAAGGAATTCTGGAGCCATCCCAGGGAATCCTGGAATCCTCCTGGGCTGATCCCAGGGAATCCATCCCAGGGAATTCTGGGATCCTCCTGGGCTGATTTCCAGGGAATTCTGGATCCATCCCATGGAATCCTCCTGGGCTGATCCCAGGGAATCCATCCCAGGGAATCCTGGAATTCTCCTGGGCTGATTCCAGGGAATACATCCCGGGGAATCCTGGGATCCTCCTGGGATGATTCCAGGGAATTCTGGATCCATCCTATGGAATCCTGGAATCCTCCTAGGCTGATCCCAGGGAATGCATCCCAGGGAATTCTGGGATCCTCCTGGGCTGATTCCAGGGAATCCATCCCAGGGCATCCTGGAGTCCTCCTGGGCTGATCCATCCCAGAGAATCCTGGATCCATCCCAGGCTGATTCCAGGGAATCCTGGAGTCCTCCTCCCAGGCTGATCCATCCCAGGGAATCCTGGAGTCCTCCCAGGCTGATCCATCCCAGGGAATCCTGGATCCATCCCAGGGAATCCTGGAGTCCTCCCAGGCTGATCTATCCCAGGGAATCCTGGAGTCCTCCCGGGCTGATCCATCCCAGGGAATCCTGGAATCCTCCTGGGCTGATCCCAGGGAATCCATCCCCTGGAATCCTGGAGTCCTCCCAGGCCGTTCCCGCTCTCCGTGTTCCCCCCTTATCCCCCTGATCCATAAAAAAAAACCTTCAACCAGGCACAGAGCTCGGAGTGATCCGGGAATTTTGGGGGGGTTTGGGAGGGTCCTGGGACGTTCCAGAGGGTCCCAGAGGATTTGGGGGGCTTTCCCAGGATGTTCCAGGTTTATCCAGGCTCTCCATTATCCCCAAAATCCATAAAATCTCCAGCCAGGGCCGGAGCTCGGAGTGATCCCGGAATTCCTGAGGGTCCCAAGGTGATCCAGGGGGTTCCAGGGTATTCCAGGGTGATCCAAAACATCCTCCCTGTGATCCCCCCAATCCATAAAATCTCCAACCAGGGCAAGAATTTGGAATGATGTGGGAATTTTGGGGGTCCCAAGGTGATCCGGGGGGTCCCAGACTGATCCAGGCTTCCCTTTATCCCCCCAAAATCCATAAAAACCTTCAAACCAGGGCAAGAGCTCGGAGTGATCCGGGAATTTTGAGGGGGTCCTGGGATTTTTGGGGGGGTCCTGGAGTTTTTGGGAGGGTCCTGGGATTTTTGGGAGGGTCCTGAAGTTTTTTTGGGGCGGGTCGTAGAATTTTGGGAGGGTCTTGGAGTTTTGGGAGGGTCCTGGAGTTTTTTTGGGGGTGGGGGTTGGGGCTCCCCTTCCCCCAATCCCTAAATCCCAATGGGAATAAAACAACTCCAGCACTGAGGGGGGGTTGGATCACCCCAAAATTCCTCCTGGAAGGAGCCAAAACCAAGGGGGGAAATCCCCAAAATCCCCCCTCAGGGGTGGGGCCAGCTTGGGGGAGGGCGGGGGGAGGGGCAGGGGGGGCACCCAGGGTGGCTCAGGGGGTGACTCAGAGCCCCGAGTGCCGCCAGCCCCCTCCCGGGCACCGCCCCAGGCTTGAGGGGAGGACACGAGTGTGCCCCGTGGGAGGTCCCAGAGCCGGTTTGGGGGATCCAGAGCGGTTTGGGGGTCCAGAGGCGGTTTGGGGAGTCCCAGAGCGGTTTGGGGGGTATGCCCTATTTGGGGGTCCCAGAGCACTTGGGGTGGGGTGCCCTATTTGGGGGTCCCAGAGCCGGTTGGGAGGCTGTGCCCTATTGGGGGGATCCCAGAGCAGTTTGGGGGGGGCTGTGCCCCTATTTGAGAGGTCCCAGAGCAGTTTGAGTGGGGGTCTGTACCTATTGGGGGGGTCCCAGGGTGCCCCGTGGGGCTCCGGTCTGGAGGGACAGGGGTTAATTTTGAGGAGGGGGCAGGAAACGTGAGTCACCTCCTACATCCTACAGAGGAGGGTTGGCACCGGTCGGAGGCACCCCCAGCTAGGGTCCCAAATTGAGGGGAGGGCGGAGAAGCAGCACCCCACCCCAAAGCTTGGGGGGGGATAAATTTAAGGGGGTTGTCAATCCCAGTTTAAACCAGTCCACCCCCACCTCGCTGGTTCCACCCCCAACTTCCTTCTGATTGAGGGGTGGGGAGTCGAGGGGCCAGGGTTCCCCCTCCCCCTCAGATATGGGGACACGTGGGCAGGGCTGACGCGGCCCCAATCTCCCCCCTCCAGTCCCCGCAGCCACATCTGGGTCAGTTTGGCTCCGGTTGCGGCAGCCGCGCCCACTAGTCACCGAGGACCCAGCCCCCAAACAACCAGAATGGGCACCCAGGGCAGAACAGCCCCAGAGCTGCCCGGGGCACGGACAGGGACCCCCAAACCCCGTTAATGACCCCAAACCCCGTGTGACCCCAGGGCAGGAACAGCCCCCAGAACTGCAGGGGGCACAGCACCCAGCAGACCCCAGAAATGGACCCCCCAGACAGGATAGAGACCCCCAAAACCGGAGGATAGGCCCCCGAACCTCCCAGGGCACGGACAGAGACCCCCAAACCCCGTTGACGACCCCAAGCCCCGTTAATGAGCCCCCCCTCCCAGGACAGGGACAGAGACCCCCAAACCCCGGTGTGACCCCCCTCCCCGACCAGGATAGAGACCCCCCAAAAAACCCCGAAATGGGCCCAGGGCAGGGACAGAGATCCCCAAGCCCCGTTAATGACCCCCAGCCTGAACCGGGATGGAGACACCCCAAACCCCGGAATCGCCCGCCGGACAAGGGACAAACTTTAAGCCCCTTTAATGACACCCCAGACCAGGATAGAGACCCCCCAAAACCCCGGAGTGGGCCCCGGGACAGGGACAGACCCCTCCCCTTCCCCCCTTGAGGTTGGGCTTCTCCCCCTCCCCACGTTATCAGCCCCGGAGCCCCCCAAAATACCCCCACATGGGGCAGGGACACCCCAGCCTGGCATTGGACCCCCAAAATACCCCCACATGGGCAGGACACCCAACCCTGGCATTGGACCCCCAGGCCCCCAAAATAACCCCTCCACAAGCTCCCATTGCCCCCCTCCCCAAAATGGGCTCCCTCCTCCAGCATCAGCCCCAGCCCCCCAGTGCCCCCTCAGTAACCAGAGCCCCCAGTTTGTCACCCACCCCCGTGTCCCCGATGTCCCCCTCATGTCCCCCAGTGTCCCCACCTCAGTATGTGCCCCCCAAGGGCCCCCAGCCGCCCCCGCCCCCTGGTGCCAAATTCCTGCGTGTTTGCGGCCCGCAGGGCGCACGAGGAGGGCAGGGGGGACCGAGGGACAGGAGGGACTGGGGAGAGGGACAGGGGGGCACCTGTGTACTGCCAGGATGGGGGGGGGATCAGGGCTGCTGGAGGGTCAGGAGGGTGCAGCCCTGAGGGGCTGGAGGGGGCCGGTGTGGGGTGGAGAGTGGGGACATGTGGGGACACGAGGGGACACGAGGGGGACATTGGGGACACGGGAGGCATTGGGGACACCGGGATGGGGTGTGGGGCAGCCACGGGTGTGGGGCAGCCCAGAAGATTCCGTGGGGCGAGGCCAGGAATTCCGGGGTGGAGTGGGCACCGACACGGGGCAGGTGGGAGGGGACAGCGGGACACGGGGACAGCGGGACGGGGGGACACAGGGACAGGGGACACCGGCACTGGGGACAGGGGGACACGCGTGGGGTGATTCCAGCGTGAACTGGGCGCTGTCACCGGGTGGGGACACGGGGACAGGAGCGAGCGGTGCTGCCAGGTGGCTCCATGGGGTATCCGGAGGATTCCATGGATCAGAATTCCAAGGAATTCCACACTGAACTGGGCACCCCCGCGGGAGCAAGAGAGACAGGGGACATTGGGGGCGTGGGGACAACCGGGACAGGGGGACACCGGGCACGGGAGGTGGGTGGGGGGGGCATCCGGGGCATTCCATGGGGCATCCAGGGAATTCCATGGGGCATCCAGGGAATTCCAGGGCGAACTGGGCACCCCCAGCGTGAACTGGGCACCGGCACGGGGCAGCGAGTGGGGGACACGGGGGGACACGGGGGACACCCCGGGTGGGCACTGCCGGGGGGGGTGATTCCCAGGCGCATCCAGGTGATTCCAAAGTGCATCCCAGGGATTCCCGGGCGCTTCCAAGGGATTCCCGGGCGCTGCCAGGCCGTGCCCCGGTGAACTGGGCACGGCCACGGCGGCTCCGGGATGTGCCAAGGCGTTCCCAAGGCCACGGCAAGGGGTGGGGGGTGACGGGACACACCCCCACGGCGAGCGGGGACCCGCCCGTGGGCCACCAGGAGCCACCCGGGTGCCACCGGGTGCCATCGGGCAGTGACGTCACGAGCAGGGTGCCACCAGCGGCCACCGCGGTGCCACCGGGCAGTGCCACAATGAGCTGGGTCCCTCCCAGGTGCCACCCGGGTGCCACCAGGCAGTGCCACAATGAGCTGGGTCCCTCCCCAGGTGCCACCGGGCAGTGCCACAATGAGCTGGGTCCCTCCCAGGTGCCACCCGGGTGCCACCAGGCAGTGCCACAATGAGCTGGGTCCCTCCCAGGTGCCACCGGGCAGTGCCACAGGGAGCTGGATCCCTCCCAGGTGCCACCCGGGTGCCACCGGGCAGTGCCACGGCGAGCTGGGTCCCTCCGAGGTGCCACCAGGTGCCACCAGGCAGTGCCACAGGGGGCTGGGTCCCTCCCAGGTGCCACCAGGCAGTGCCACAGGGAGTTGGGTCCCTCCCAGGTGTCACCAGGGTGCCACCAGGCAGTGCCACGGCAAGCTGGGTCCCTCCCAGGTCCCTCCAAGGTGCCACCCGGGTGCCACCAGGCAGTGCCACGGAGAGCTGGGTCCCTCCCAGGTGCCACCCGAGTGCCACCAGGCAGTGCCACAATGAGCTGGGTCCCTCCCAGGTGCCACCAGGCAGTGCCACGGAGAGCTGGGTCTCTCCCAGGTGCCACCCGGGTGCCACCGGGCAGTGCCACAATGAGCTGGGTCCCTCCCAGGTGCCACCAGGCAGTGCCACCAGGCAGTGCCACAGGGAGCTGGATCCCTCCCAGGTGCCACCCGGGTGCCACCGGGCAGTGCCACGGCGAGCTGGATCCCTCCCAGGTGCCACCAGGGTGCCACAGCTGAGGCTGGATCCCTCCCGGGTGCCGCAAGCCGCTGCCCGCCGTCCCTGTCCCCGTGGATCCCGGCCTCCGTCCCTCCCCACGCGGCTCTCGAGTCCAGGCACCAGGAGGTGGGAGGGCAGGAAGCTCGGGGGTGCCTCTCCGCCCCCACAGCCCCATGAGCCCCAGCCCACGTGGCCCCCTGGCACAGCTCCCCCGCCCGCCCAGCCACGCCGGTGGCCCAGGCCAGGCGGAATCTGAACATATCCACGAATCCCAAACATCAGCCCCCTCCGCTCCTTCTCCTGCGCCGGGAAGGGGGCCGCTCCTTACCCCCACCCCCGATTCCTCCGCTCGATTTTGGGGGTCCTCATCCCCACCCGCGCGATGCCGGGCCCGGCGTGGCCCTTCCAGCAGTGCCGCCACATCTGGGGGGAGGAGGGAGTCGTGCAGAAGATTGGCACGGCCCAGTGGATCCCAGTGGATCCTCGGGGAGGAAGGGGGTCCTTCCCACCCTCCAGGACAGGGGACCCCAAAGTGGGATGGGGGTCCCCTGGTGCCCCCACCGGCCTGGGGCGGGGTGGGGGTGGGGAGGATGAGCCAGAGCTCCGGAATGTGGAGGGAATGTGG